TACAGTACAGGTGTGACAGGCTTCATATTTAAACACTTGAGTTTAGATTCAGATTTAGGTCATTAGGATGGTTGAAGGATTTGACTGGACTGAACATGATTCTGGTTGAAGTATTGTTTTTCCACATTTTGAAGAGATCAGTTTTCTGCTCTACAAACTCCAGAACTTTCCAATATAGTTTCTCTTGTTTTCAATTTCTTAAACTGGAAAGAAAAAAAAAAGCTCTATCAATCCCTCAATGTTATTCCAGAAATCAAATTGAAATTATCTTCTGTCTCATTAGAGCTTCTCACAAGAAGGTGCTCCACACACTTGCAAGCTACTCTGGCCTGGCCTGCCTTGCAGGCAGCAAATTGATAGTCACATTAATATATATCTCCATTATAGACAGTATAGAGTACAAAACTCTATACAGCATACAAAGCAGTACAGAGAGTAAAGTGCGCCTGAACAAATAGCATAAATGTAAATGTATCTTGGTGACATTTGTTAGGGGTTTTTTTTACTATCACCTTCTGGAAGGATATAGTAATTAGGCTTTATTGACAGTTTTTCTATGTCAAAGAGAATGAATTGTCTTGATGCTTCCATCAGTCAACATGTTTTTAAATTATCTCTTTCATAAGCTCTGTTACCAAGAAATGTATTTTACTTCACTGAGCACTCTCATTTGAAGAGAAGCAGACATGTTTCTAATACCATAACTGATTTCAGGGGTTTTAAATTTAGACTGACAGGCCACTTCAGTTTCAGGTTATTTGCTCTGTTGAGAAAAGTTATGAAAGGTAAAGCAGAACCAGATTTTTTTTTTTTTATGGCACATTTTATGAACATCAAAACTTCCTGTTTCAGCAAACATGAGGTCTATTTTAAATTATTTTCCAAATGATGGAATAGTTTCTTAACTTACAATGACAGAATCTTGTTTACTTTTTTACTACTTTTCTAGCAAATTATAATTAATTCTATACTCCACACTTCTTTAATCGCTTTCAGTTGGCTGTCTTTCCAGACTTGATGTATGCACATTAATTGTTTGCCTGTGGCAAGATTTTATGAACTCTAATATGCACCACATGTTCGACTTGCTTAAAATTAATTGCAGACATTGTATTTAGCATTAATGTACATCTTTATTGGCTTTAATTTCACATCTGTCTTGCTTTATATACAACTTTATCAGTGTAACTGATGTGTGTAATAGCAACCACCAAAACTTGCTTTTGTATTTGTTTTACCTATTAATACAATTTTAGTTTATGTGATTTTGCAATAAAAAAGTGAAATAATTTGAAAATAAATTAATCTTTCTTATTCACTATTTGGAAAGTCAACTGCAAAATACTGTGTGAGATCTAGTGGCGAAAAAATAAAGCAGCTATGGTTTGCCTGTACAAAAAGGTTTGCCTGTTTAAGAACAAAATCTCTTTGAAAGAGGATTTGCTGTGGTGATCCATTCTTAGAATGAAGAAACAGGAGACCACCTCACTTACTAGCTAGCAGCTTGCTAGGGACAGTCCCACAGATGGTTCCACAATTCCTACCAGTTCATGCACAGGCACATTTCACGTAGCTGTAAAGCCCTACCTAGCTGCAACACAGAGGTGAAATGGAAACAAGCCTCAGCACAGAAAAGCTACTCAACATGCACTAAAAATCTGGCATCGGCTTATCATGCAGGTATCTAGTTGTTGATACACAGATTAGACAAATTAATGCAAATTAGAGTATGTTTGCAAATTGTACGGTGTAGATATCTAAGAATCACAGCAGAGCAATTTTTAACATGTTTGTAGCTAAACCACAATGGCTTTAGTAGTTACCAAGAAGGAAACTGCTGGCTTCCAGTAATGCGATAAGAATAGAAGGTGTACATGGTGAAAACAATGTTTTATCTTATAAAGTACCATGTTGAGAGGGGTGACTCTGTATATTGGTTCTTAAAGATCTTTAAAAGTTGCAAAGCCAGATTTATGGTGCACAGAATTCGTGTACATCTCAAATCAGATATAATAATATGTTAAATTCAAATATAGAACAGTAGTTTCAGAAACATATAGAGATATGCCACATTGACAATATGGTTCTCTGGATTTAAGAAAAATATGGCATTGTTTTACTTTCTGAAGGGATGCTGATCAGGTCAGATCTCTTCCAGTAAAACGTATGTGTGGACCAGGAATTCAGACCATGACTACATCAGAAAGTTCACCTATTGCTGAAGGAGACTTCACATAAAATACAAAGTAACATTCAAACCTTTAAAAGTTTCAGCAGTTTTTAGGATAAGGAAGCAGGATCAAATGTTAGTCAGAACAAAATACAATGAACTAACTGTTCAAACTAATACAAAATAATATAGATGGAGCAGGTTTTATTATATTCTAAGCAACCAGAAGTGCAGCATATAGAATGGAATGACAGAATCATGGAACTCTTCAGATTGGAAAGGACCTTAAGCTCATCTAGTTTCATGGGCAGGGACGCCTCACAGTAGACTAGGTCACTCAAAGCCCCGTCCAGCCTGGCCTTGAACACTGCCAGGGATGGGGCAGTCACAGCTTTCTTGGGCAGCCTGTGCAACCTAAATCTCCCCTGTTTAGGTTTAAACCTGCTACCCTTTGTCCTCTTACTACAGACCGTGATGAAGAGTCCTTCTCTGGCATCCTTATAGACTCCCTTCAGATACTGGAAGGCTGCTATCAGGTCTCCATGCAACCTTCTCCAGGCTGAAAAGCCCCAGTTTCTGAGCCTGTCTTTTTATGAGAAGGAATAAAGTATTCCTTGTCCATCAGCAAATGCCAGGAGCAGCAAAAAAATAAAATACATTTGCAGAGGAGTTTCTGTCTTATCACCAGACTTCAAAAGCATGCTGTCAGTATACTTGCTTTACAGTGAAGTATTTACTTATTTCAAGCCCCCAAATTCCACTTCTCATTGTTCTCATTGGTTCTGTTTTAAAAAGACCAACATATATCGTTTAACAGGAAAACGGTGTGCAGATTCAACATCCAAACCCCCTAAGAACGAAAGTCTTTGCTTTCAAGAGCAATGCGCTTAAAATTCATGGTGTCGTTACTGAAAGCCAAATTTTAAAACCCTTTATTATTTCAAAGTTCAGTTCTTTCTTTAAAGCAAAGGAAATAATTTCAGTGGTCTGTTATTTCTTCTGGAACTGACATGGCGACTTGAAGTGATAATGCAGAGCATTTATATTACCAGGCATACTCGCACCTTTCCTCTGCCTATTCATTTCTGGGGTAAATTATTGTTGATAATGACTTTGCACATAAATGGCATTCAGCACATTCACAGCAGTTCACCCTCATCAAAATGAAGCCAAATTAAACCATTTAGCATAAGGGAGGGGGGGCAATTGCATCTGATCAGTTCAGGGCCCTTGTATTTTCAGAGAAATGAAACCAACCTGCAAATTTAACCATCTGGCTAATAGTGCTTTTGGATCTACTGCCACCCCGTGGATTCGTGATGAATTTTAAGTCCCGAAATACTTGGCAGATGGAAAATTAACAAAAAATAGCCTCTGGGGCAAAAGCCCAGCTATCTAACTGATGTGTAAGCCCACTTACATAGAAGGATCATTACTGTCCTGGTGTGAAAAGGCTCTTTTGTTGTTGTTTTTGTTTGAGTGTGGGGTTTTTTTTTGGTTGGTTGGTTGTTATTTTTTATTACCAGGTTACATTTGCCACATTTCAGCTTCTTAAATTCACAATTACAGGAACAACTTTAATTTGGTTTCAAACTAAAATACACCTAAATCACAGAACCACAGAATGGTTTGGGTTGGAAGGGACCTTAAACCTCATTCGGTTCCAACCACTAGAGCAGGTTGCTCCAAGCCCCATCCAACCTGGCCTTGAACACTGCCAGGGATGGGGCCGCCACAGCTTCTCTGGACAACCTGTGCCAGAGCCTCACCACCCTCACAGAGAAGAACTTCTGCCTCAGATCTCATCTCAATCTCCCCTCTGTCAGTTTAAAGCCATTCCCCTTGTCAAAAGCCACTCTCCAGATTCTTGTTGGCCCTTTGAGGCACTGGAAGCTGGTCTAAGGTGTCCCCAGAGCCTTCTCCAGGCTGAACAAGCCCAACTCTCTCAGCCTGTCTCCATAGCAGAGCTGCTCCAGCCCTCAAAGCATCTTCGTGGCCTCCTCTGGACTTGCTCCATCAGCTCCATGTTCTTATACTGGGGCCCCAGAGGTGGATGCAGGACTGCAGGTGGGGTCTCACAAGAGGAGAGGGGAGGAGATTCCCCTCCCTCAACCTGCTGGTCATGCTGCTGGTGATGCAGCCCACGACACGGTTGGTTTCTGGGCTGCAAGTGCACACTACCGGATCATGGTGAGCTGCTTGTCAGTGAATTCCCTTAGGTACTTCTTAGGGCTGTTCTCAATCCTGCCCCCCCACCCCCCCGCCTGTATTTGTGTTTGGGATCGCTCTCATCCATGCGCAGGACCTTGCACTTGGCCTTGTTGAACTTCATGAGGTTCACACTGACCCACCTCTCCAGCCTGCCCAAGTCCCTCTAGATCCCATCCCTTCCCTCCGTCATTTCTGCCACACCACAGTATCATCGGCAAACTTGCTGAGGGTGCTCAATCCCACTGTCCATGTCGCCGACAAACATGTTGAAAAGGACCGATCCCAACACCGACCCCCAAGGGACATCGCTCGCCACTGGTCTCCACTTGGAGATAAGACTCATTGACCCGCGCGGGAGGGCGGCGAAGGCCCTACAGAACCGGTGCCCGCGGGCAGCCCAGTCCCACCATCCGCCCCGCAGCACCGGGAAGGCAGCGGCTCTGTGGCGGAGCAGGCCCTGCCCCTTTCTGCCCAGCACATACCCCACCGAGCGGCGCAAGACACAGCTCCCCGCGGGGATGGCGGCAGCGCTCGCCCGCTGGAATGTCCGCGGCGGCCAGGCGGAGGAGGCGGGACCTGACGGGGGAGCCGCAGCCAATGGGGGTGGCAGGAGGCAGCGCAGGGCCGGGAGCGGGCGCTGCCGGCGTCAGAGTCAGCCAGTCTGGCGGGCGGGGGTCGTGAGGCGGGGCCGCGCGGCGGGTTCGCGGCAGGGCCATGGCGGTAACGGCCGCTCGGTGGCCCTGGGGCCTGCTCTGCCTGGCGGCGGCCCCCCTACTCTTCCCTGCAGTAGACGGTGAGTAGCGAGGTGCAGAGGATGGAGGGGAGGTGGTTCCGCGGGTCCCTCTTCAACAACATGGCGCAGAGACGAGGCCGCCCGCGGGGTGCCGAAGCCTTGGGGCGGTGGCGTCGACCGCGGGGATGGGGCGCGGCCCGGCGCCGCGGGTCACTCGTGTCTCGCCGCAGCTGGGGGCAGGCTGCTTGGGGCGGCATCGTGGCATCGGCTGCCGCAGGCACCTGCCCCACGGGAGCGGGAGGGTGGTGGGCGAGGGGCCGCCAAAAGTGAGGGTGGGGGCGGCTCCTTGAGTGTCCGAGGGACAGCGTCGCCTTCCATGTGTCGGTCCTTTTACCGCTGCTGTTGTCTCGGTGTCGTGTCTCCCCGCCGCATCCCCGTGGAATGCACCCGCCTGAAACCCTGATATGAGGCCCGGCAGCCGGAGAGAGGAGGAGGCTTCAATAGCTGAGATAGGGAGGAATGGGGTGCAGGGGTACGGCCGTCTTGACCACATCCCGCCTAGCAGTGTCATGAGGTAGACAGACCTTTTACACCTGGTTACATGAGTTGAGAGGCCGGGATTTGTGTCTTCGGCTGTTATGCTGGCAGTAGGTAAATAACCAAGATTGTGGTTTGAAATGGAGAAGAGCTGGTGTCTTGTTCCGTATCAGTAAAACCTGACTTATAGATTGCTATATGAAACGTCAGAACAGGCCTTGTGTTCCAGGGCTTGTAGTCCTTGTGGTTTTGCTAACCTTTTCAATTAAAAAACATGCTATTGAAGAGGGTATTGGATTTTTATTTTTTTTTTAAGTGAAGGCAAGACTTTTACTAGAAAGATGATGGCAAAATAGTTTCCTGTGTTACAGTTGTGATAGTAGATAACTTATTGACAGGACCAAAAAATAACTAAAAGAAGGCAGCACAAGCACAGATATTGACAAATAGCTTTTAATAGTCAGATCATGCTGGTAATGCTGTTGCAGGAGGGAAAATACAAAATATATAATATTTTACAGCAAAAGATTGCAGTCATACTGAAGCATTTATGGGCATTTCATTGTTCTACACTAATTTCTAGTGAGGCATGGTTTTAGGAAGAAGGCAGTTAAAAGCTAGTGGAATGAAATGTGACATAATCTAGTTCAATTTTCGCTTGATAAACCTACTTACATTTCTGAAATAGCAGATCTTATCAAAGAAAGAAGTGTAGCTATTTCATAGTTTGGACATGAATAAAATTTTGAAATGAAACCTGGAAATTCTTCAGCAGAACAGGAGAAGATGGGAATAAGAAAGTAAGGGACAGATACGGAGATGTCATATGACATTTCAGAAGAGGTTAGCTGGAAAGAGAACTGAGGAAGCGTGTTTGGAATGGATATTGTTATTAACTTCCATTTCTGACTTAAGCACGAAAGATCTCTCTGGGCTAGTTTAACTTGCTGCTTATTCAAGATACCATCAATTGATTAGGATTTTGTATAAAAGTAATTAAATTACCATGAGGTGTAGCATATTGTTACTTCATTGTTTGGGATAATAGGTAAGACTTGAAATTCAGCAGTGAAAGTGATTGAAAAGAACTATCCTGAATGTGTATTAACTCATCATAGAAGGATTGGAAGGCATTGAAAACTAGTGGGTAAGAGGCCACAGAGTATTAAATAATCTGTGAAGGAGAGTTTAACAAACATACACTGTTAAACATATGCATTGTTTCCTAAGCCTGTGTAAATTCTTTTCATAGGTTGGGAACTCCTGAATTCTTGGGTCTCTTAAACGTAGCAGTTACTCTCAGTAAAAATTTATATAGTGAAAAATTTCTGGAATGGTGAAACAAAACAACAAAACCATGATCGAATAGACAGTGTTTCTGTTTGTAAGCCTGTGTTTCTGTTTGTAAGCCTGTGCCTAAGCATGTTTGGTTGGAGTTTTTTACTTACGAAATTACTTTGATGAATATCTTCTTGTGAACCTGAATGTTTTCCCCCCGCTGTGTTAAAATGCTTGCACTTTGATTGCATAGGCACTGAAATTTAGAAACACAAAATAAAGTGCAACTATTGCCTTAAGAAAAAGCAGTGGCTTACTGAACATAATGCAGAAAAACCTACAGGTTCCCATATGTAACCTCAAATCAGAAAGATTTTAAAGCTGTCTGCTCATATATCTCAATCCTTTTCTGAGATTGTAGAAAATAGGCAAAAAAACATTAAAGTAAATTTCACAATTTAATTCTTTCATCATGTAAGCATGATTTTGGTGCTCTCCCCATTTATTACAGGCATTCTGCTATGTTGTTTCTAGTTACTAATGGGAACATTCACCAATTGGAAGTCTTACTTTGGCTTCTCCTATTTCCTATTCAGGAATGATAGATTTTTGCATTAAAATACAGCTCAGTCCTGTAATAGGCATTTTGAAGCGTGACTATTTCAGACAACCTTTTGCAAGTTTTACTTTATTCCCAGTTCCTCAATCTTTTCAGATTTGGGTTTTTGGTTTGTTTGTTGGGGGGTTTGATTGGGTTTGGTGTTGTTTTTTTGTTTTGGTTTTTTTTTTTTCATTTTTAATAGCATTCCAGTATTGGAGAATTTTGGTGGTAATGGATTCTTCTAAGTTTTAAATTGGGTATCTTGTAACAGCTATGAGCTTTCAGATGAAAGCACTTGTATGTTGTGAAATTATCAAGGAATTCATGCCAATATCCTCCTTAGTAGTTCAGTCAAAATCTCTTTAGTAACTAGGTATTGTGAAATACAACTTCATGTGTGGTATCATTGTACAGTTGGGTGGGTTTTTTTTCATTGTACGTGTTGCTTTTATGTTGTATCAGTGTGATGTGTAGTTCAGATACAGATGAGCAAAAATCTGTTATCATTAAATGACCATGTGTGTGAAAAAGTAAAAGCTTTCAAAGAAACCTCTGCATGTCTGGTTTTTAATACACTGTTCCAAACACTGGGCAGTGAGGATGAAAATGAATATCAAGAAGCTCTGCAGTTCATTTTGTACTGCCAAGCTTAACTCTGAATGAAGGGATAGTAGGGGAGACAAAGCGCAACGAAGTTAATGTTAAAAATGCCACTTTAAACCTTAGTGTTTGGTGAAGTCTCAGTGCTTCAGTTCTCATTCATTTCACTGTTGACGTGTTCATATCTCTGTTGCTCTATGACTTCCATCTGGTTAGGCAGAACCACTCTTAATCATCCATCACTAGTGAAACAATTTACAGTTTTGATCCAAGTTTTTAGGAAGCCAGAGTTCAGCGAACAGCTGTGTTCACCTCTGTGTGAAAAGTTCTGTGAGATGATTCAATTTACAAAGGTGTATGGTTTCTATGGAGATTTCTGGTGGGGGGGGGGTGTTCACTTTTTAGTATTCTATCGTCCCTCCCTCTCCATTTTCACACACACACACACGCACACACACACACACACCCCGGTAATGAACTGAATTGCCTGATGAAGGAATCTGGCAGGTGCCAAGCTAGTTCAAGTTAAGCAGCAGAAGTGGAGCTAGAAGCAGAAGGGGAGTGAGATCTCCTTTTGGTGGCAGTGAGTGTTCTGCGGTAATTCTGTGAGACTCCATGAATGCATCTGCAGCAGCTTTGGAACAAAAATTTCATTTTTTTTTTTTTTTTGCTTGTTTCTGGGAAGGAAAATTGCTTATGGACCAGACAAATCATCCTGATAGGCCATCAAGTGGACACTTCTGTTCAGAAGTTATAATTAAGTGCTTCAGGTCTTTTAAATATCTTTTTCCCTCCTGCTTTTCCATAGGCTTGTCTTGTTGTTACCATGCAAAGGACAACTTAATGTGCCGTGATGTCTGTGAACAGGTAAGCTTGTTTGAAATTTGGGTTGTCCTTAAGAGTTAAAATTTTGCCTTAAACAATGATGTAGCAAGATTAGGCTTACAAACAAATGCATTCCTGTGTAAATACTATGAGTGAATTATGAGATATAATATTATTGTTTATATATATAATTTTATAATGAGAAAACTGTAGTCAGCTTTCCTTTCATAGTGGAAAACAGGTTCTGCTGAAGTTGAGGGGAAATCGACATAAAAATCTGAGGTCAGGGTTTGGACAGGAAGTGCTAAGCATGTTAGGAAATGGGAGGGGTGAAGGGTTTTTACCCACTTTCTGGGTCTTGTATGTTCCAAAGTTCTGGGGAATTTAAAATGAAGAACAAGATGTTGATACTGTTCATTTTTCCTGTCAGTTCTTGTTTGTTAGCTAAGTATCTAAGATCATCATTATGATACATGGCTTTGTGAATCCAGCAAAAAACTTCTTGCTTACCCTGTTCATAAGGTGATAACAAAGAGTTGTTTGTGCTGGATTCAAGCTTGGAAAATATTTTTCACAACTTATGTTTAGATTTCTACCTTTGGATAGTATGTTGTACAGCTTTGTGTGTGTGCATTTATATAAATTTATATCCATAAAATTTTTGCATCAGTAAAGCATACCTACACATAAGCACAGTTTTTATCCTTGCATCATACCTGCCCCATTTTAATGTCTTCATTGCCCATTTTGGGGCTGTTCAAGTGCTAAACTTGCTTATGATCAAGTTTATATTTATCTGTGATGGTACTAACAAAACTTTTAGTTTAAATTTACCCTCTCCCTCCCTAATGTATTTATAGAACACAACCAAATTCCGTTTCAGCTTTCCTATTGTTAGGCCAAACAAGGAAAAGTCTTACATTCTCTTTGCATGATACTCTCTGAATTCCTATAATTATTGTTGCAGCCTTTCCAGCGTAATTTTCTCTTTGAATAAAGGTAAGCAAAACTGTACATGGTATTAAAACCAGAAGTATAGCACTCAGTCTTAAAAACTGTGTTACAACATACGTGTAAGTAAGAGAAAGATATCCACATACAAGCAAATTTAACTGGCAAGTTTAGTAGCTGCATTTGGAATAATCTGACCAATTGTTTCTTCTGTTCCATTGGTTTGAAATTCCCAGTTTATCACTTGAATGCCTGTTAGTTTTTAGCCCTTCATGAAAGGCCTTTAGCTTTTTACTGTCAAATTTCATCTCATTTCTGTTATATTGGTTCTAGATACTGTGTAGAATTTTATGTGTGTTTTGTAAGATATTCAGATCTTTCCTCATCTGGATGATTCCTCTTTACTCCATATAATCAGCATATTCAGAGTCTTTGTGGTGAGAGGTCTAGAACAAGTCTAAAGCAAGACTGGTACCCCAGAAATTGTTCTATAAGGAGCTTTCTTACTGACCTCACGTCAGGCTGTTGGTAGGATCATTTTCTGAATGATTCTTCGTAGGCCAACAAACTGGCTGTCTGCTATTTTTCTGCTTATTTTCATGTTCTGTAGCTTAACCATTTTGTGCAGCACAACTGCAATGCTTTGTCTTTGTTGAATCCATTTTGGAATGTATTATTTGATAGCTATGCCCTTGTCTTAAACATAGAATTTGTAGATTTACATACATGGGAGGGTGACTGTGAGGGGACAGAGTCGGCTGAATAATTTACTGTTTTCATTCTTTCTTTCTAAATACCTTTTCTAAAATACTTTCTATGTAGTTGTTGTCATGTCTGTACCACCACACTGTACCATCCTGGCATAATTTATTTAATGATAAAAAAATGTTTTCTTTCTAGACTCGGTAGTTTGAGCCATAAAACACTGAAGCTGCTTGCCACGGACATCAAGGAAAGAGAGCAGGCTTGTGCCCCATACCTCTGTTTAATGCTTAGGGAATGCCAGCAGCCAGGGTGCACAGACAGGAATTTGGGTGTTAACAGAGCTGATTCTTGTGGAGCGGGCCAAGCAGGAAGTCCAGATGTACTGCTTGAGACTGTGTACACCTGTTAAGTCCAGGAGGACAGTCTATGGCACTGACTCGTGACATCTTGGAGGTCTTGACCCAGAAGGAGCTCTTGAAGAAGAATATGTCCATCCAAGTATTGGGCTGCAGCAAAGGGATGGCCAGGTCTCTCCCTGAATAGTGGTGTTTGTAGGAGTCGTGCTCTGGTCAGCTTCCTGAACTGTCAAAGAAGCTGAGGTTAGAAGGATTGCCTCAGTGTAAACGGGAGCCAGACAGGCTCTTTGTGGAGAACCTGCAAAGCCAATATCCTGAATTATGCATTGCATGGAAAGAAGGATGGCTAGAGGCTATGCTTAGTGGAGACTGAAAGTCTGTGGCCCCTGACAGTGGGAGGAAGTTTCTTGGCCTATCTTTGGATATGCCCTTACAGAATAGATTTGGAGCCTCAGAAAGGTGAAGAGGAACGAAGCCCATCAGGGAGCCATTTTGGCCTAATCAGTTGATTGTAAACAGTGCCGCCAGGAGAAAGAATCCCTTCTGCAAAGAATGGAGGCACTCATCTACAAATGAGACTTGCTGTGTGGGATGATTTGGTTTTCAGGGGCTCAGATCTAGAATGTTGCTGAAATTGCAAGGTTTTTTTGACCCTCAGATTATCACCCATTCGCTGCTCGTCTACATGGACACATGTACTGTTGAGTGGAGCCTTGCATGGGTAAAAGGGTGAAGGGCATAGGAGAACTAGATGGTGTTCTCCTTGATCCTGTCAGTTAAGGTAAAAAGCTTGATTAAGAGTAAGGATTTCTACTAACTTTAAGTTACTTTCTGATACTTTAAGTAAGCCCTTTGAAAAAGAAATCTTGGATTACAGATTTGTTGGTCAACTAAGATGATACAAACATCTAATTATTTTGCATTCTTTGTAAATATTATTCTACACTTACTTTCAGTGTCATCTCTTTTTTGTGATTATTTGATTAAGGCTGTCAGATACTGTAGAAGGAATAAGTGGAACTGTTTTTCTTTAATTGATGTTTTTTTCCTAAGTTTATTTCTGGGAAGTTACACAATGATAAGGTTCCTGGAAGCATTCATCTCTGTATCACGCCAAAGATCTCTATCCAGATCCTCCTCCAAGCATAAGAATAGTCCATCCCGGTCCTCAGGAAAACATGTTAATGTTTCAGAAGGCTAGTTTGGCTAAATAGAGAAGTCATGAACAAGCTTCACTGCAGAAAGGCAGTATAGAGGAGGTAGAAGCAGGGAAGGGTTATAAAAGAAGAATTTACAGACTTTTCATAGGGGGAGGACAAGAGAGAGCAGACATAAATTAAAGCTAGAGATTTTTAGTTGACTATGCAGAGGAACTCTTCCACCATAAAAACAGAGAAGCTGTGCATTCTCCATCTGCAGGGGTTTTCATGACCTTACTGGATAAAACCATGAGCAATATGGCTTGGCTTCACAGTTGATCCTTCTTTGAGCAGGAGGTTGCAATCAATGATCTTCTGTGATCACTTCCTACCCAAATTATTTTCATATTCTATGACTGCAGAAGACCCCAAATACTATTGCAGTTCTTTCCTTGCTCTCTTCTCTAAAACCAGTACTCTTGATTTCTTGTTTTCAGTCCGTGAGTTTATCATGTTCCAAATCCAGAATAGAACAATAATGTATTTCTGCTTTTGAGAGATCAAATGCATCCACGACTTAGTTATTCCTGTAATTTGTGGTTTCGTATCCCACATTAATAGGTCTGTTTCCATCCCTTTTGTTGTCCAGTTTCTTGTTTTAATTAGTAAGTGTTTTACTTAATTGGACTGCTAAAGGAGCAAGAACTAACAACATTAGTGTGGGACCAGGAAACCATTTCAGTTGTACTGAGAGCTCAATTTAACATTAACACTTCTGTGAAACTTCAAAAACCAAAACAACAAAAACACGAGAAAGATCGATGAGGTAAAGGTATCTTGTAGTAAGCTGTGAAGAAATTGCTACTCTTGTAAGGAACTGAGATGAGCAACACTACAAAATGGCCTAAAGGACACCTGGGAAAAAAGATAAGTTTACATGATTCAGAATTGTGCATGAAAGTCGATGAGGTAAGGCAAGATTTCTTCCCAAGTATAGCTGTATAAAGTAACTTAAGTTGGAAGAGTCATTTTGTCTAACCTGCTCAGATAGGTACTAGCTTCAATATTAAATCAGGTTGATCAGAATCTTGTTAGTCATATTTTGAATATCCTCAGGAATGGGCTTTCCACAGTGGTTCAGAGGAATCTGTTCCAGCTCTTAACCTACTCTCATGGTGGTTTGGTTTTTTTTCCTTTGCATCCAGTTAGAATTTGTCTTGCTGCACCGTGTTACTTTTGCAGCTCGTGCTCCACTGTGCACCTCTGAGAACAGTCTGAATAGTCTTTTGTGTAATTCATCTTCAGGTCCTGGAAGACAGGAATTTAGTGTGCCCCCCACCCTTAACCATTCTTTAGTTTGAACAGATTCTTTTTTCTTGGCCTGTCTTGATATATCATGAAGTCCAGCATCTTTTGTGGCCTTCTGCTGGACTCTCTGCAATTCATCAATAACGTTCCTTGCACGGTGGTGGCACAAAATTGGGTTTGGTATTATAGTAGCCTCATCAGTGCCTAGTATTAACCTCTGGATAATGCAACAGCTAATGAAGAGCAATACTCTGTTAGCTTTCAGTGCTGCACCAGTGCACTGCTGACCCATGTTCAACTTGTCACTCACCAGGACCCAATACCCTTTGCTCCAAAGCTGGTTTCTACACAGAGAGCACCCAGCCTGTACTGTTGCATGGGGTTATTCCATTTCAGCTGCAAGATTCTGTGTTTGCCTTTGCTGAACTGCTTGAGTTTCCTGTCAGCCCATTGCTGCAGCTGGTTAAAACCCATCTGAATGGCAGATCCACCCTATAGTATATGAATAGCAGATCCCAGTTTAGGCTCATCTGCATACCTGCTCAGGATTTTTTCTGTCCTGTTCTCCAACTCACTAGTAAAGCCTTTTACAGTGTTGGTTTGACTCCTATGTTATATACCCCTTCAAGTGGCCAACACTTAGGCACTGAACTGCTAAATGCTAATCTTTGAGCCCTATTGCTCAAAGTTGGTTGTCCACCTAGTAGCTCACCCATCCCATCCATGTTTCACCAGTTTGGCTCTAAAAAAATACGGTGTGCGACCATGCAAAAACCTTTTTAAAGTCAAAGTAGATAACATACAGTGTTCTCCATTTTTTTACTAAACCAGTACCTTAGTTGTGGAAAGCTATCAGACTAAATCTGCCCTGGATATGGCTGTGCTGTCTGCTCCCAGTCACCTCCCGTTCTTCTTGTGCCTTGACATACCTTCTGTGAGGATTTGTGCCACAATCTTCCTGCAGGGCAAGGTTAGGCTGAACAGCCTGTAGTTCCACAAATTGTCCTTCTCATCTTTCTAATGGATATGATGTTTATCTCTTCTTTAGTCATCTGGAACCTCATCCAATGACCAAGGTCTTCCAAAAATGGCAGCAAAGCTTCCTTACGGTAGCAGTGGCAAGCTTCTCAACATCCTCAGTTGCATTCCATCCAGTCTCATGAATTTCTGAGTGTTCAGTTAGCTTAGGTGGTGCTTAACTTAATCTTGGTTAGCTGTGGTGTCAAGGTTTAAGTCCAGCCCGTAACTGAACCCAAGATGTGGGTAGTATTCATGCCCCTGTTAATTTTGGTTCTATCTTTAACTAGTCTAGGTTTTGTTTCTTTGTTCCACAAAATTTTCTTGTTTCAGGGTTTGTTTTGGAAGGAGTTTAGTTGCCTGAGGTGCTGTAGCATGTAGCACAAGATTAATAAAGAGTTGTGTAATATTTTGGTATGTGGGACAAAAATCCACTATGTTTTTCACACTACCTGTTCAACAGAAACTCTGATTGAAGTATTGGAGGAGGAAATTCTCATTCACTTCTAAATACGGAAATTCTTTTCTTCATTGAAAAATTCAACATATTTGAAAACTATAGATATATAAAAGAGACTATTAACTTTGCATTGTTTGTATATTATCTGTTAGCCAAAGTTGTGGAAGGGTAGATAGTAGTGTAACTAAAAATCACTGAATCAATTGAAAAAAGTATCCAGTGTGTAGTTACAGTCTATGTGGTTTAAGGTGTGGGTTTTTTTCCCAACAGATTTTGTCTTCTAAAAGTGATTCCCGTTTGAAGCACTTACTGCAGCGAGCACCTGAGTATTGCCCAGAATCAATGGTAAGGCTTGCTAGTTTTTAGTTAAAGAAACCAAACAATCTTAAGTTTTGCTTGCAAAAGTAGGGTTTTAAAATTACTTGCTTCTATTTACTCACTGAGTCTTGAGCCGGTAGAACGTGTGTATGTCTGCAAGCTTTTTCTTCCTTGTTATGAGGACTAGAAAAATTCTTATAATGAGATTTGATCCTTGAAGTAGGAGCTCCTTTTATTGTAAGCTTGCAACAATACAGGACTTGACAATTTTCTATGTGCCCTAGTTGTGTAAGCTAAGAAATGCCTTAAAAATCTGCCCTGTGTTGTAAAAAAATACGCTGGGTGATTGACATTTGGATGTTGATGGCTGGGACTGAAACTAGGTAACGTGTTCCAGCTTGTGTGTGGGACAAAGCTATAAGGTCTTGTTTGGGCTAAAGCAAGGAGATCCTCATAGCTGCTCTGAATGGTTTATGGCTGTATCTGACAAACTGAATTAATGCTTTTATTGGTTAAGTAAGATATTATTTGGTTAAGTAAGATTATAGTTTCCTGAATGTGCTGTAGTGTGTCACTAAAAAAAAAATAAAAATGAAGTAATCTGCTCCCTGTCTTAGAGATTATCTAATGGGGGAAGAGATAAGCGCTGTTACACAGACTGTAAATTCTGAAGTTTTTATCTCCTGGCAGCTTAGAATCACTCATCACATTTGCCCTCAGAAAGGTCTGCTTTTTTCTTTTGTTATTTCTAAACAGTATCAATACTGTTTCCAGCTAGCCCAAGACATATACTCAGCTCAAATGGGCAATATGTATAAACAGTAAATCTGGGAATAACAGAATAATATTTTACAAGCAACTTTGAAAGACTGTCTTTGCTTATAGATCCTTTCCTCCCGTGTGTCAGAAGCGTGTTTTTTCAATGTTTTGTTTCTTTCAATCATCAGCTCTAAGGCCTTGGAAAGTTACAGATAACTATGAGTAGGAGTAAAACCTATGACATGAAAACATATTGAAGTGGCAAATAGACTGTGTTTTTGGTACTGTTTCTGTATCTTTTATTCCTTTATAGGACGTGTAGAATTTATCTGTATAGTAGAGGAGTGCATATTTAGATGACAGGATTGGAGAGTATCTGAAAGGGGGAAAATGCTTGACACAATGATTTTTTATTTTGTTTTATTTTTTAACTTCCAGTTACCATCTCTATAAATGGCAAGTTTACTGTCCAGTGATTGTTATATTAAATTAACATCACTGAACTGATAATATTTATAAACTTTGGGGAAAGATATCTAGATATGAAATTGTTAAGAGTTCAACCTAATACAATATTTGCTCTTTTCAGATACCACCTGTCTTAGGAGAGGTGTTACAGTGACATTCCACAGATAAGCAGATAGATTATAAATTTAATCAGATGGTCTATTTTCTCAAGCACTACTTACAGACATTGTGTTGTCTGTATTCCTTCAAGTAACGTAATAGAAAGGGTATTGCCTGGTGTTAGTACAGTAACTGTCAGCTGAATCAATGGGGCAGAACTAGTAGAAGTAGCAGCTTTTTACCCTTTTGGGCTGACTTTGACTCTTACTTAAGTGGGAAACCACTGCACATGCAGAGGAGGACAGTTTTAGATCATTAGGTACACATCCATTACAACTTTAGAAAGTTCCAGGTAATCACATGATGTTCCACACCTCCAAAAACACTTCTGTTGATTCCATACTCTTTTGATGGCAGCCTTCTCATCAAAGCAAGTGGTACTCAACTTACATCTCATAGCACTTCTTCAAAAGATGTTTAGATGTAATTCTTCTAGTAGGATATTTAAAACCCAGGGCAAAAATGTTAAAGATGGTGTTTTGTGTCTGCTAGAAATTCTTTTCTTCTCTAGACTTAGTTTTGCTTACTTGCATTTTACTTTTCAGGGAGAAGTGTGGGGTTGTATAAATTCTTCTTTGCCAGGTAAGAAATATTAGTTTACTATTGAATCATGTTGCTTTTTCACCATATACATGTTTTCTACCACCTGCACCATTTTGTGGTTAACTCTCATTATGCTTCCATTATAAACTGACTGGTCTCTAGTTTCCTTTAGTATAAACTGAGTTACCTGTCCATTTTTTAATACTTCTTTTTCTAGTTAGAAAATATTTAATATGCTTGTATGATTAAACACATGTGCTTCTGTTACACATCCAAGAAATACCAAAGCTTCTTTTCCTTCTAAGGTTTTCTGTTGGGTTTAGTTTCAGTATACTTTAGCCTGGATTATTGCAACTTTGCTGTAGATGCAGTATAATTTGAAAGAAAACTGAGTAACAAGGGGAAATAGTAAGAACTAGACAAAGAGTGAAAGAAGTGCAGAGGATCACATCAAGAACCAAACTGCTTGGTACAGGTGGGTTTAGAAAGTTAAAGCATAAATGGCAAGGGAGGACTGTTATATTAGGAGAGATCAAGAAGAGATTAAACTGGACTTAACTAGTACTAATTGTATCATACGTAATTACTAAAAGACTTAGAGTGAAATTAGCATGTTATGGTTGAAAAAGTGGTAATGAGGAAAGAGGAGGCTGTGACAGTTTTATGGCATCTGCTTAGACTCCCCCCGACCCTGGCTTCAGAGACAAGCTGTGTTCCACTGTATGCAAAGAGTTTTTCTGTCTTGTATTTTTGCTGTTTTACTTTACCAATAATATCTTTTAGAGTTGCAGTGCTGCTGTCTCATTTAAAAATTTCTTTATGACCATGCACACATGATACTCTTCAAGAGACTGCTTACAAGATATGACTGAGGGACCCACCAATCTATAATTCAGAATGATAACGAAGTTCTGATTTTAGGCTTTATCATTTTCTGTAAGCAGACTGTAGGAGACTTCAAAAAGACAACAAAATTCTAACTTGGGCTTTCTTGCACCCTTCTTGACAAATGCAGGGCTGGAACATAAGAAGCTGAGTTAGTTTTACTTTCTTCTTTTACCATCTTTTTGTTTTGCTCCTGCTTGTGTGGGATCACGGTAATAAATGTATCAGAGATGATGTTCTAATTTTTTATGTTTATGCAGCTTTTTACTTCTGTTTCTGACTTCAGTATTCTCGTGGAGACTGCAGTGAAAGTTTGTAATAAGAAAGTTGTGTGTGTGTGTTGCAAGTCAGCTTGCTAATGTGACATGACTTGGAAACTTCTGGGAGACATGGGAGGAGAGTCTGTGTTACGCAACTAGATGATCTTTTATAGTTCATACGTCTGTATTGTACTTCTGTCAGTTAATTTGGTGAATAATCAGAACTATGGACTCAGTTCAATTAATTGTGCACTAAAGGTGTAACATACATTTTAATTACCTTGACTACAAAATTAATTTGTAAGTTGCTGTATGAAAGTTGCAGTTTAAATCTTTTGAGGGTATGACACCAGTTTTTTGTCAGGAAGCTTGTCTGCTACTCATAAATAACCTGGGGACATGGCCACTTGACAAGATACTAAGTATGGCTGAAACTTCTTAGCATTCTTATTGGCCTGTATTTGTAGCTTGTTTCATTCTTTTAGCACGGTTCTGGTAAAAGTGTTTCTGAAAACCACAGGCTCTGTACTGCACAAAATATGATGTTCGATTATTCAGTGGTGATTCACTGATGACTGTTCAGTGGTGACATTGTCCCTAAAGCTCTACAGCTGTATTTATCATGTGTTTCTCCTGGATATAGCTGGTTATTGCAGCAGAGATTTATGGAAATCCTGGTTTTGTACTGCACGTTGTATTTCTTTTGGGTTTTAGATTGCTTGTACCCTAAAACATCACTCCTACTAAATAAATATTCTACTGAACATAGCTGTTTTACTTGAAAGGAGTCTCTGTATGGCTTCATATATGAAAGTTGTGCAGAAACAACTGCTACATTATTTTAAGCCTAAGATAGAATATAGCGAGAAGTCGATTTAGCAATTAACTGTACATATGTATTTAAGCATATGTGCATGACTTCCATGTAGACATACTTTTGCTGTTGGAATTAGTTTAAAACAATGCATCGATTTCTTCATTTTTTGACATTGATTACAAACTACTGATGTTTGCACAACAGCCATCTCTTTAACACGTTCAAAAAGATGCTCAATCTCTAAAAAACATAACTCTGTACCCCACTTACGGAAGTAGAGGGTGAGCAGAATTTTCAGTTGTTCACGGCCTTCACAGTTTCTTTGAACTAGTTTAAGTCACTGGCCTGCAGTACTTCCAGAAGGTCTGAACCACTCCGATGGTACACTTTGGACTAACAGGATGCAACCTGCAGCCAAAAGCTGTTCTTCACCTTTGCCTCTCTGCTCCCTTAAACCTCTGTGCAATCCTGCTACCTTACATGTGTCAAGCGTTAAGGTTTTAATTTGCATTTTAATAAATGTAACTAATATTTTTAGTTAAAGATTTTGTTCCTTTATAAATTTATTATTAGTGTTTTCTTAATTTGCCCATGAGAGTGACATGAAAGCCTCATACTTTTGAGACTTTCTATGCCACCTGTCTTTATAAAGCCAACAAAGTATATTTTAAAGGCAATTTTGTTCATGATAAATACCTACTAGTGATTGTTTTCAGTTCCTTGCAGTGATTTTTACTTTTTTCCACCACTTTCTTAGCATTTGTATTTAAGCTCACTGTTCTCATTCCTAGCTCTTTCACTTTACTTTTTTTAAAGCTTGACTTTCCTGGATAGGTATTGCTACTAGGCTTAAGAGCATTAAGTGATTGATTCTTTTACTTCATACTTACTGTTTCTGTGTAAAGGGTATAATATGTGCATGTCCTAAAAGTATTTTTTTTATATTCATTACAAAAATGAGTGGTTCATTTGAGCTAAAAAATTCCACCTCCTGCCCTAAGAAACAAGTGTTACAAATTTTCCACAGCTGCTGGGCAGCTGCATAGGTTAAACTTTCCCTTTAATTATTTCCACATTTAAAGAGAAATAGGTACAGGCATGTATTCTTTTACTTGATTTCTGATGTCTTGAAAACATCTGAAGTTCTGTATTCATGAATAGATTAAGAGGGTGAAACAACTTAGGGCAGTGATTTGCTTTTCTGTGTAACTTTATGTTAAAAAATCAGGATAATGGGAATAGTGAAATAAAGTGGGGGGGAGAAATGGAGACATGGGAAACTTTTATTCAAGGAAATTCTGGTTATGAAAATGTTGTTATGGGGGACAAACTACAGGGGAAGTGTTGTGGTTTAACCACAGTAGGCTGCTAAGCACTCCAGAACCACTTGCTTACTCTCCCATCAGTGGGAAAGGGGAAAGAATCAGAAGTGTAAAAGTGAGAAAGAAAACTCATGGGTTGAGATAAAGACAGTTGATAATTAAAAAATATTAGGGAAAAAAAAAAACAAACAAAACAAACCACCACAACAAAAAATCCACAAAAGAAAACAATTGCTCGCCACCAGTCAACCACTGCCCAGCCAGTCCATGAGCAACAGCAGCTCCCAGCAACCTTCACCCCCAGTTATATTACCGAGCATGATGTCTGATAGTCTGGGATATCTCTTGGGTCAGCTCTCCCAGCTGTGTTGCTTCCCAGCTTGTGCATCCCGAGGCTGCTCACTGGTGGGGTGATGTGAGAAGCAAGGAACAGTCTTGATTCTGCATAAGCACTGCTCAGCAGTAATAAAGACATCTGTGTATTATCAACACTTGTTTCATCACAAATCCAAAACATAGCACCATACCAGCTACTATGAAGAAATTTAACTATATCCCAACAAAAACCAGTACAGGAAAAAGTGAAACATATTCTGCATTGAAAAATTTCGTAGAAAAATATACTGTTGAAACCAAGAAGAGGATGTGTCTGTGGGAGACAGACTTGAATTTCAGATTAGGTCATATTATCAAACTTTTGATACTTCCAGTGAACATACAAAACAGTTTGCATAAAGCATGTTTGAACTCAGTGTATAGAAGTTGCTTCATAATTGCCAAGTTCAGCTCTTTTCTTGCTAAAAGTTGGCTTGGAATTACTTCATAAATTCCAATTAAAGTTAATCTGTAAATAGGCTTCTTGAATGAGAACGGGATTACCAAATTTGAAAAGTAACTGTCTCTTGGGGAGGGGAGGGAAAATGATGGCATAGTTTCTCTTTCTACTCTTACATGTATTGTCATCTTATTTTCAAAGGAGTATTGAAGAAGTCTGATGGGTGGGTTGGTCTAGGTTGCTGTGAGCTAGCTATTGCTGTGGAATGTCGGCAAGCATGTAAACAGGTAAGGCTTTCTCACTGTTTTTCTGTGGTTAATGTCAAATGATGCCATGTTGAATTAATTTCTGTATTACTGTTAATGAACTTCAGCCTTAATGTAATTTTTACATCGAAATTGAATTATCACAGGAACTCCAAAATTACAACATGTGACTATATACTGCCCAGAAGTACTACTGGTGAGAAATGCTAGCAGCCAAATTCCTAAACCCAAAACAAATAATTTATGTTTTTAAAGGGAATATTTGGTAAAAAAAAAAAAAAAAAGAAAAAAAAAAGTGGAAGTTAAGTTTACTGAAATGAAAGTCTAATTTAAAATGGGGGGGACAGGGGCATGGGGCTTGGGAGTATATATTTTCAGCTGTGCTGTAGGACTAGGCTGCTTGCTGTGACTTGATGAGCCTGAAGAAGAAATTTAAATACCTTAGAGTTAGCTGTGCCTTTTTTGTACATTCTGATGCCACATTTACTTACTCAGTAATGAAGATAAGATGAAATCTTACTGTATTTATAACTTTGACAGCACAAAAGTTCCAGTATGTGAGCCAGTGACCTGGCTGCAGTCCTGTCCTACCACTACTGCACTTGGCAAATGGAGCTAATCCACTTCCTGTCTGCAAGTAGTAGGCATGTGATCATTGCTGATGTGCTCTAGTTTCTTACTTTGCAGTAATTTGTTGAATGAATCAATAAAGATTCTGAAGCTTTCTTTGGTTTTGCTGAACTTAATTTCTTGAAACTTTTTGGTCACAATCTCTACATGAAAGTTGTTACTTTAATACCAAGTAAAAGACAGCATGTAGCTGTTTCTAAGCTTGCTGTCTTTGCAGTTTAGTGATGCAACATTGTGGTTACAGCCCCAAATACATTTTTGTGCCTCTTCACAGAGGTTTTTAATCATCAAATGGAGCAAAGTTGGTATTAGTCTCAGTACATCACTGTTGTCAAGTGACAATTGAAGCTTAACATACAAATTTAGTAATGACCTTTTTATTAAAAATGTATGAAACATTTTGTGATTTTTTTTTCTTTTCTTTTTGCCCCCATCCTCTCCCCCCCACAAAAATGGATTGTAACCTAAAAACCATCTTCAGATTCAAAGAGCATGTAATTATTTATCATCAACTTTGTAACTCAGTCCTGGAGCACAGATGTACTTAATGTTCAGTGTTGTATCTTGCATATTACCTGTGTAATCTTAATCTTGGACCAGCAGCCTACTGCACATTGTTGTCATGCAAAAAAAAATAAAGATGCTACCTTCACCCAAAAGCATATAGTTTAGAATATTTGACAGGAGATGAGTGATGACTACACAAACCAAGTAATGTGGAAAAGAGATGAGTGAGTAAGCACACTGTACTTTTGGTCTTCTGAAAAGAAGAAACATGTATCTGTTCCCAAATGGAATTCTAGCAAGTTTTCAGATTTATTCTAATATTTAAGTGTTTTCCAGACATGAAGTAAGATTTCCACTTACTGTAGTGTCCTATGAAATTCTGTTAATTTAATTTTATGATTGTTACATCACTTCTCATTATTCTTAGACTCAGCTGTATTTTTTATTGCAGACTCTGCTGTCTCAGAATCTTGGCTGTATTTTGTACATTAGCTGACTCTGGTGGATATATTTCATATGATTTTCATTTAAACTAAAATATAGGTACTTGCCAAACATTAGGGATTATGGTAAACCTTTGGGTTTTAATTTTGATTCTTGAAACTTGAGAGTTTTTTGGAGGCATTTTGAGGAAGGTGATATGATAGGTCCAAGGTCAGATTTTTATCCTGGTGTTTTTAAATCACTGGAGGTGAAGATACCTAATGTTAGTAGTCATCATAATTTTGAGCATCTGTCATATGAAAAAGGAACAAGAGGTTCTTGACAGAAGAAACTGATCTGTAGTTTGAAGGGAGAATTTCTGCAGCTCTTTTTGACAACAGGAACTGTAGGACTGTATGTGCAATAGGGAGGAGAAGCGACAGGCACGTAAGTGGTACTGAGCACGAAAAATAGGGAGATGTTTATGCTCAAGTTTTCCCATTTAGTAAATGTTTCCTGTATTTTGCTCTATGTGGTAAAACTTTCATGAAAATAAAGTTGCTTTGTGTGCTTCTGCTATCAACTAACTTGGTGCGGAAATGTGAGGTTTTGTTTTTTAATTTAGTGTAGTGTAGGTGAGGCCTTTAGTGACATTGTTTAGTGGTGAACTTGGCAGTCCTGCAGTAACAGTTGTACTTGATTGTCTTAAAGGTCTTTTTCAATGTAGTTGATTCTGTGATTAATGGTCATGGTTTCTGCTTTTTCTTCTTACAGTTTTGAATGGATTCTTTATGTTCTTGAAAAGGAAAATGTAAATAGACCATGAATCCCGATTATCACATTTAATATGTTTAGTATATACTTAATGTATAATGTATTAAATAATACACATAAATGTATACTGTATTAAATAATATTTTCATATATAATCACATAATACATCCAATATAAAGATAGAATCATCTTTATTTTGCAACATGATTATATTATTTTCCGCTACAAATACAGAAATCTATCTGTCTTTCAGGCTTCTGCAAAGAATGATGTTATAAAGGTCTGCAGGAAGGAATATGAGGTATGTGTACATGTGTCTGGATATATATTAGTAAGAATCAACTGGTGTAGGAATTCTGTAAAAAGTATCCTGAGAAGAGGGAAAGCCTCTCATCTTATTAATGTTTCTGGATATACTCATTCTCATCCAAATACGAATTACCTCTCTACAATTTTTGTAAAAGCATAATTGTTTTCTGCAAAAAGATAGTGTCTTTTTATTTAGGCTTTCATATATCTTAATTTGAATTAAACTTTAAAAATGAAGACATAAATTCCAAAAAAGTTCGCTTCATGGAAGTTGGCATATGAGCACCCTTCTGCTTCTACAGTGGAAGAGTCAGCTAAAGACATAAACTCAGGAAAGAATAACCTGTATTAAGTATTCTATCCTAATGTAAATAATATCAAATGAATAGATTCTGTAACATCAGTGAACCTATTAGTGCTTGCAGTTATTGTTGCTGTTCTGGTCTTAAGTTAACATCAGAATGTTTTCAGGAATCTGCCTTTACCTGTATTTTTTTTAACACAGTTTGTAGAAAAGTTGTTCTACTAGGACTTCTTTTATTTCAATCTGTTTCTTAATTAAAAGTCAGATTCCTCCTCCCGCTTTCATCTTATTTCCTCTCGCCCTGAATTAGGTAGTCCTGCATAAATTCTGATCAACTGTTCAGGATATTGGGCAATTCTCTGTTCTCTTGGTTTGGTCAGAAGTGTATCAGGTTTCCTGTTTTTCCAGGAAACATTAAATTCCAGTTTTCTCTTTCTTTGGTTCTATTATCTAAACAGTCTAGATAGTATTTTCCTAGACGCTTCACTGTTGAATTTACCATAGCTTGTTCCCTTAAAAAATGAATTTTCATTTTCAGTAGTTCTGTCTCCTTTCATGCTATTATATGCTCTACTATCAACATCTGTAAGCTTCTCCTCTATTATGCTGGTCTGTTTCCTTCTTTTTTCCTGGATTTCTGCACTGCTGTAGGAAGTTGGCCAATATGGGTTGAAGGAGAACTGGAGAGGAAAGGTAAGAGATTAAAGAATGACAGCAAAATGGTGATAGTCATTTATGTTAACTAATTCTTCTCTTTCTGATTTTTATCTGGAATTTTGGAAAGTGAGTCCTTCACTCTTATTCAAGAGCAATCTTACTGTACAGGACTCTTAACACTTTTTCTGTCTCTGCCAATACTAAAAGAGAAAGGGAGAAAAGTGATGGAAGAAGGAAATCAGTCTTCTGATTGATGAAGAAGGAAAGAACTTTTTAAATGAGATCTTGGAGTAGTAGATACAGATACGGTGTTAGGCATAGAAATTAAGCATCTGACATGATAGATCTTCAGTTATTACAGAATTTTGTATGACAGGTTTTCCTATGTATCAAGGCTTACAGGTATCATAAAAAATAGTACTTACAATGCTATCGAGAGACCCATTGGTTATATAAAATTCAAGGAAGTTTTGTATAAATATGAAATTCCAAAAAAGACTTCTGGAGGGAGTCTGTAGGTAGCTTCTGTGTCTGTGACCTGTACCATACCTTGTATTCAGTTGGGTTGGCTGGAGAAAAAACTGAGTAACTGGGGAGGGAGTGGTTAGTTAAAACTGAAAGAGGTGACATAAGATCAAAACCAGCCTGTGAATCACATAAATGCAATATCATACTTACTGTGTTTGCCTTCGGGTTTAAGAATTCACACCTCATTTACTAAAAATGAGGATCCAATTTGAGAATTAGTTTACAATATAGATTACAGCCCTTGTTCATCAGCTCTGTTACTGAGATCTTGAATATATAAGTACATGACATACAAGTAAAAATTAGATGAATCAAGAATATAAAAGTATAATTCCCATTTTGTAAATATTCTTAGTAGCTTACCAACTTTCATAGCTTGCTTAGTATACTTATCTAAGGATTTCCCAGAGAATTTTCACAAGCTTCATACAGTATTTGACTGTACTGTGCATAGTATTTTTCTTTAATCTCTTGAGACTGGGGAAGCAATTTCACGAGTTACCCTTCAGCTTCCCACTAGGCTAGTGAGCATGAAGAAAAAGGTAAGCCTTCAAGGGTAGGGCCTAGTGTTCAGGGCGGTGAAAAAAAAACAAACTCCAATCAGGAGGTTTCACAAAGTTTGAAGTTGCTAAGCGGAGTCTCGGGTTTGTCGGGTAGCAAAATCACTTAGCATTGATGTGCCAGGTTTTCACAAGGTTAATTGAGGGTGCTTTTTCTGCTCATCATATGTTTCTGCATTACTTTTACTATAAATTTATGAAGTTTGATGCTTCTAATTTAGAGATTTTACACATTTTTAGAAATTAATCATGTTGTAATAACCCATTCATTTTTGATCACTGCATTGAAGATTGTGTGTTGTGTTAAATAGTCTTTATCTTCAAATAGCACTGCATACAGAAACAACACAACTAGCTCAGTGGTTTTGAGTGTTACTGAAATGTACTCCACTTGCCTTCTTTTGAAATATTTTTATTCTGGTAGTGCTTTTTCCTGTCTTCTGCTTCTCAGGTACTCATTTTGTCATCCTAATTTTTTTTCTCTACTTCTATGCATCTCAACTTGTATCTTTCCCTACTTCTTTCAGCTTTCTGCTATCCTATTCATCTTCCTGTAAAAAAGAAGGTAGGTAATAGTCAAGGAAGGAAGAAAAAAGAAGTGGAGACTGTGTGGATTGTACGTAGGATTTACTTATTTTTAAGTTTGGTATAAAGTTGAGGTTCGTTTTTTGTTAAAAGACTGCATGGAATACATGCTCGGAGGGGTAACTGAGAATAGTTTATAAAGCTTAATATAAGTTGTAAATGCTTTATTACTGAAACATCACTATTCTTTCTTCTGTGCATGGAAAGGATAGTACTAAGATTTCCATTAGATTACAGCTCATCAGTTTCTACACTGTGTACCTCTTTGCACATTAAGAACTCCAGTTCTTACCTTGTGTATTGAATAAGACATTCAGACTTCTCTGGTTAATTGATATTGAGAGCTTTGCTACAGCTGAGCACTAGTAACATCTGCCATGTGGTCAAAGTATAATTGGAAATGGTGCCAGTTACTTAGCTTCCGCGCTGAAAACTGGTTTTGACACACAGCAGGAAACACTTTTGATGTCCCTGGACTGCTTACAGGTATTTTTGCTCTCACAGATTTGAGCACTGATTAGCTTAATCTGACTTTGTTTTCTTACAGTTTTTACATACCAAAACTTCAACTGCAGTGCCTGCAGCTTAAAGTGCTGTAGAAGGGATTCAGAAAAATATTCACTGTGCTTCAGTATTGGCTTTATCTTCTAGGGTCATACGCTCATGCTTTATGCTGAGGTTTTAGTGAATGCTGGCTACTAATTACCCCTTTTGAAAAATGTGGTCAGCAGCTTTTAGCTCCCGTCTAGTTGTGTGGATTACTCAGAGACAGTAGACTATAACTCAAGATTCTGTTTAGGAAAAGTTTACAAAACAGTTTTAATTAACGCCTAAGGAACATGGCTGTACGTGGCATCTAGAAATACTAGTACTTAATGAATTTAGGGTGGACTCTGACCATGTACTACACATTGTAGCTAATATTATTGGCATCTTATCCAGTGGTGTTTTTTGTCCCTATTCTCTACTATTCAGAGAAGCCTGAGGGAACTCAATGGTCTTGCCAAAATTGAAGTTGCAGTAATTTTGTTCTACCTTACTGTGCAAGTATTACCACTTCTTTTCTGGTTTATGTAACTGAGGATAGTTTTGGCCTCAATTAAACAACAATTTCAGTTGTTAATTACTGCAAGTTTTTAAAATCCTTAACAGATATCCACTCTTATTTGAAACGTCGTCTGACCCCACTAAACCTTAGTGTGTTACCTTCTGACTTTACCTTCTGCTGACAAATTTAAAGATTAAATGAAATCTAGTGTGAGGTGTCCCTGCCCATGGCAGGGAGGTTGGAACTAGATGATCTTAAGGTCCTTTCCAACCCTAAGTATTCTATGATTCTGTGAAGTCAAGGAGAGATTAACAGGACTTTCATTGCGTAGAGTGAAGCATTTTATATCCTAATGTATTTGTTAACTGTGGTAATACTTCTAAATTAAGATGGATAGGATCTGTATTCAAATATTTAATGTGGTTAGGTTGCCAAGGGTGACAGTACTAAACTTATTTTTCTGCCAAAGTTAGTAGAATACAAATACCATGATAGTTTTTAGGGAGGAAAACAATCTTTGATTTTTAGCAAAATACTCTTTATTTCTGGTGTGAAAACAGCTTCCGTTGCTTTTCATTGATGGCAGAAGTGGCAGCCATTTAGGAAAAAAATGCTTATAATTTAAAAACAAGCCTTATAATGCTGAAGACTTGCTCCTTTAGCAAAATGTTCTGCTTTATTTGTATTTATGTGCATGCATTTTGGTTTTTGAGCCGTTACCTGCAGCTGATGAGCTCCAAAAAGAGCGAAACCAGTTAGGTCCTGCAGTACTGGCTAAAATCTTTCTTCAAGAAACTTCTGGTGAGGAAAACTGGACAGTGTACTCTGCTGGATAAATTTCACCTGCCTGTTTCAATTTCCGTAACACCAAAGACCTTCGAGACAGTTTTCTTTAAGGCATACATGGTTCTGTTGCCTGTGTCTGCCTGCCACTTTCCATTCCCTCTTCTTGTAGTACCACTGTCTCTAATCAGTTTCGGCAACATTTGGTTTTTAAAAAAGAGAAGTCTGAAAGATGAGAATAATGCACAAATAAAATCAGTGTTTTATAGATTTCAATATTGCCATCTTTGTTCACTTAATATTTTATTCACAAGTTTAAAAATGGAGTATCAGATTCTGTGTAGGTACACCGTATTGCCTCTTTACTCTCATTTTTCCAGATCTTGATGACTTAGTTCTTCCTTTAAAGAGAATGCGCTTTTTGCTCTTCTGGTGTTTTTGTGTGTGTGTGTTTTGGTTTGTTTCAGTTTTTCTTAGCTATATCACTGTTTCATGTTTTGCTTTGTTTTCTTTGTCTTTCTGTTCTGCCAGTTCCCTAGCAGATTCATAAGGTAAGCTTGAGTGGGCAGAAAAGCTGCTGATTTCTTAAACATGAGTGCTACTTCAGTAGAGATGGGCATTAACCCTGTGTTCTGTAATGAAGTTATGGTTAATAATTCATATCAGACTGACTGGTTAATGCTTTTATGAGCTTTATTTATGAGCAAATGTCTAAGATTCTCTCATCTCTGTTTAGCTACACTCCCCACATACTTTCTGGGAAACTGAACAATTATCCAGACCTACAGATTTACAGAGCAAAGTCAGCACCCTGACTAGCACTGTATTCTGTGGTGGCTGCAGGTACTACCATTTCACAAAATACAGGGAGTTGCTTCAACAGCTTAGTTCAGCTGAAGTTCTTCCTGTTCCTTCCTGCAGCTGCCCTTTTTCCGCCCACAGTCCCTCCCACTGCTAGCCAGACAATATCTAAAAGATTGCTCTGTTCTGTTTCATTTCTGTCCTGTTCTTTCTGTTCTGTTCTGTCCTGTCCTGTTCTATTCAAACTTAGTACTATATGCTGATTTAAATTCCTAGGAGGAATTTTCAGCAGGGTTATTGAAAAAAATCAGGTCATGAGAAGATGCTCAGTGCCAGAGCTCATGTAAAGGCATACACAAGACTATACAACTAGGAACAGGGAGAGAAGAATTGAAAAAAGGTGGAAACAAGAAGACCACCTCCTCTTAACAGAAACACAAGACTCAGCAATCTCTGGAACTATAGTTTCAAAGTACAGAAAGTTGAAAATTTATTGTCTGGTTAGAGCATTCTGCCTGTATAAAATTGGTGTGTAAATTTGCTATAATACAAGATAATTTTGTCTCAACTTGAGCCCATCTATAGAGGGGAAATGCTGGTAGACATAATTTTCTCAATATTCTTTTCTGTTTCATGCATAGTTATAAACTGTGATCTGAGCTAACAGAGCCAGTGACACTGTTATCCCTGAACTGCTTTTTAATAACTTTTTTGTAACATTCAAGTTTTAAGTAATATAAGAATTTTTAGCTGAATTTATAGCAGCATTACATCATGATTCTAAGTATTGTTTGTACTAACAGAATGGTCAAGTACTTAAATATAACCCTGATGGACAGACTTCAGCTTTTTCAGGAGCCTCTGCTGTCTCAGTGCATGAATTAATAAAGTTAGTGTTGCCTTCTACCTGGCTGGTTTTTATGTCACCAGAGTGGCTGTGGAGAAGTCTAATTTCAGCAGCTTCTGAGGACAGTGTTTTGAATCAGAGTGGTGTTGTATATGATAATTACTATTTGATAGTTCTTTCTTTTTTTGTACATGGAAGGTCCCAAAGAAACCAGCTGGCCATGTTGAAACAGTGACTTTCTGATTAGCATTTTCTGGCATCCATAGAGAAGAATATGTGGTGCTATAAAAACTACCTAAGCCTTTAGGCACCAGTAGAAATCTCTTTATGAATGTAGGATGGTGGCTCTGTCTGCATGTTCTTTTCCTGTAAATTCTCTTGTCTCTCATCATTGTTGCATAGATGAATGAGTGACAGGATTTGCTTGGTGGGTAGTAAAGAGGGAAAATCTGAACTGAATCAGATTCAAACTTCCTGCTTGGATTAGGAATGTTGCTGCAAATTCATTCTCACTCTCGGAGAAATTATGCGGTATCTGTGCTCTTGGGAGTAAAGATCTAAAATTTGGTAGATGATACTGGAAGAATGAAAATATCTGAATTTGTGAGGTTTTGGGCATAGTTTTATGTAAGACAGACTTTCGAATTTTTGTATGAGGTGTTCTCACTAGACCTGTGCTTTTATTCATGATCAGTAACATCATACATAGCTGGTGTTCATGGGAAATTAACTTATATTTTCAATTTAGATTTGTGTTTATTCTCATAGGCTCATTTTTCAGTGCCACATCTGCTATGGGTTACCCATGGTTTAAATTCATTTCTGACTATAAATAGAAGAAAGTGATGCTGCTTACTACAGCATTGGGACTGTCCTATTTTAAAACTTGTGTTTGACTGTTAACATACTTCACAATCCAAAAGATATTATCCAAAAGATATAATTGTGAGACTGTTTAAAACAGGATTATAGCACTATGATTTACATGATGTAAAGAGTAATTGGCAAGTTGGAACTTTTGATTTAAATTACAGCATAACATAAAATCATTAATGGTGTGATATAAACTGAAACATCAAGGCTTGGGGATTTTAAAGTCTAAGTTAAAAATGTGAGTCTTCCATCTTTTGGTACAGTAAATAATTCTTTTGGTTCTTCAGATATTTATTAGAACTGCCTATGCAGGAATGCAAATTCATTTGATTGGCAGTTCACGTAGGGAGAACTGGTCTGATCTGATTCTGACGTGCTCACTCTTAAATGAATAACAGAAAAGAGGATGAAGATAGCTATGAAAATGAAAAACAGCATTTTAAAAAATCGTGGTTTTATTTGGGTATTTACAAAACTTTCATGAGGAAAAAAGTAATGAAGTAAAAAAATAATAAAGTAAAAATGGGATTGTGGAATTCTCCAGTTATCCAGTGGAATATATGAGTTGCACTTCAATAAATAAGAAATTGGGCCTCTATAATGTGTACTGATTCAAGTGACAGGATTTGAGATGTCTGATGGTGAGCAGGTAAAGGAAGGGGTAGGTTATGTACCAAAGTTGTCTAGTAGAAATGAGGCTGCCTGTTTGTTCTGCTCTGTGAAGAGAGAGATGTTCTGTATTCACCCTTCCCTGTTCAGCACAACCAAACACAACCAAGTTGCTCAAAAAGAAAGCCTCAGAATTCAGATGTTGTAGTTACTGGTATTTTTATGAGCTAGCCACTGAGAGATTTGATCTCTTTGATATTTACTTTGCTTTTCTCTGTAGTCCTACCCAGACTGTAGGGTGGAAAATAAAGATACTGCCAGAACAGATTGACTTACATGATCTCTGAGAAGAAAGCAAGTAGAGAATGTGAATTGAAAAACAAATGCCTGAGGCTAAACAATCTCTAAGACAAAAGGAAAAATAAAACCATCAAGATGATCCCTAACACATTTCTACTTTCACTTAAAAAATGTAACACTTCCATCTGTTTGCAGCAGCATGCATTTTCAGAAGAATACCACAAAGATTCTTGTGTATACCCATCTCCCTGCAATGCAGTAAATACCAGTAACTAACACAGATGAAGAATCTTGTGAACTACTGAGCTTATGTTAGGTCTGCATTTTGAGATCTCTCCTTTTTCTCATTCAGAGGTTGTAGCACATCTGATACTTTGCTGTAGTGAAGCAAGGTTTTAATCCCGCATTATGTTTGTGAATCAGTATGATGGTGTTTCTGTTTGCTTCCTAGATGCTGTGTAAAATACGTATTTGCTTAATGATGGGGATAGGGGAAATGAAGGAGATCAGAAACTTCATGAAGATGGGGATTGTGTTTTGTCACAATGTTAAAGTATTTGATCACTTGTTATAATCTGGTGTTCTGACAAGTGTGGAGGTCAGGCGTGCAGGGACTTCAGATTCTCCTCCCCACCCCCTTCCCCAGTCATATAATTTAAAAAAGCTTTAATAATTGGCAGCTGCATTTGAATTTCAACCTCATTGACTTCATCATCTTGAGTACCAGAAAGCATATATGTAGTATCTGTTGGGTTTTGGTCTGGATTTTTTTGTTTGTCTCCCCTCTGGTGACAGGCTGAGAGAGTTGGGGTGGTTCAGCTCAACACAATAAGGCTCCAGGAGACCTTATCGTGGCTTTCAGTATTTAAAGGGGACTTGTAAGAAAGATGGGGAAAGGCTTTTTAGTAGCACCTGTTGCGATAGAACAAAGAGCAATAGTTTTAAAGTAAAAAAGTGTAGGTTCAGGCTATACGAAGAATAATTTTTTTCTAATGAGTGTGACAAAACACTGGATCAGTGTTGAAACCTGGAACGGGTTGCCCAGAGAGGTGGTAGGTGTGCCATCCCTGGAGACATTCTAGGCCAAGCAGAATGTGGTCCTGGCAACCTGATCTAGATGAGGATGTCCCTGCTTATTGCAGAGGGTTGGACTAGATGACCTTTGAAGGTCCCTTCCAGCCAAACTATGTTGATTACTCTGGGGAGTAGAGTCCTTTGAAATGAAACAGCAGGTGTGTGTATTTCCCTTCTTCTGTCATTGAACGTGTTGGCTATCCCCCAACTGTACTTTTTGGCTGCAATCTGAAGGACTTGATAGCATCTTTTGGCTTTTAAGATACATTGTTGTTGAGTTAGTTTGTAGAAATTTTCTATTTGTATGTGTTCAGCTGTCAAGTGTTTGGGATTTTTTTCCCCCATATGGAATCTTTGGAATTGTTGCCATTAAAAAAGTAACATTTTGAGACAGTCTGTTATAGCATGCTGTTTATAAGTTACTCCAGGAAAGTCTTATACGCTTGGCTTGAATATTTAACTATTTTACTGCAAGTGCACAAAAAACTCAGATGGCCCCTGATCTTCTAATTTCCTACTTTCAGTGGTTTTATATAGTGTTTTTGTTTTAATCCAATCTAATTTGAACAAATAATAACAAAGGTATTAGCTCATTCTAAGAAGTAACTGGATACTTAAATATTTATCTGAAGTTTTCTGGCTTATAACACTGTTTTTGTTTTGATTTCAGAATGCTCTCTTTAGTTGTATTAACAGAAATGAAAGTAAGTATGTAATGAATAGTTTGTCTTCTTGTTTTTCTTTTATATCGTTCTATCCTTTTTTTTCTCTAAAATGTGGGAAATCATATGGATTCAGTTCCATAGAAGAACATGCATAACTTTCCTTGCTCCAAGTGATAAGGGGATTGGGCTGTTCGTACAATTTATATCCGTTTTTGTGTATCTGTATTTGGTTTTTTTCTGTCCTATTTCGATGGTTGCTTAGAAGCTCATTTTCTCCTTCTGCTTCATTTATTTAATGAGTGTTAAGTGCGTAGATGAAGTCTTGCAAGTGTTTTGTTGCCTGTTGTCTGGCTATGTAAAATGAAATCAGTGAACTTGAGTTCAAGACGACATTAGGGACTTTTTTCTCCAGCCAAACAAATGTAATTCGGCTAGTTACAGATATTTCCAGTTGTTCTGTAGACAGAGGTTACAATACCTTAATCATTGTGTGTGATACAGACATGCTTGTTTCTTCATTTCTCTGTGTAGGAACCCATAAGATTTTTCTGTTGTTTGTTTCCCCAGTGGGGTCAGTCTGTTGCAGTTACGCAGGTCATCATACAAACTGTCGGGAATATTGTCAAGCAATTTTTCGGACAGACTCTTCTCCCGGTCCCTCACAAATTAAAGCAGTTGAAAATTACTGTGCATCTATTAGCCCTCAGCTTATACATTGTGTGAACAACTATACACAGTCATACCCAATGAGAAATCCTACAGACAGTGAGTATAAAAAATCCTTCTGTACTTAAAGTTATGAAAAATACTGAAAATGTTTGAGAATTGTATATACTTTTTATATAAAATGTGTTACTATATTAGTCTGTTGTATAAATTGTATTAATGTATTTCTGTTTTGTAATTGCAATTATATGAATTTAAATAATGGTAACTTTTGGTTGTAGGTGCATTACTGATACATAATTTATTTTAATTCTACATATTGGTGCTGTTTTTTTCCAGAGTTGATTCTCTTTGCATTTAAAAGAAGCAACATTATTTGAGATTAGTTGGGGGGGAACCTCCTAATAACATTTTTTCTTTCTTAATCTGAGGGCTGTTATATCATGCATCTTGATTGTTATTATGTGCTCAATCATTAACTAGTTTTAATTTTTTTAATAGGTTTGTATTGCTGTGATAGAGCAGAAGACTATACGTGTCAGACTGCTTGTAAAAGAATTCTAATGTCAATGAAAACAGAGCTTGAAATTGTTGATGGACTTATAGAAGGCTGTAAGACAATGCCTCTCCCTCAGGATCCTCTTTGGCAATGTTTTCTTGAAAGTTCAAGATCTGTTCACCCAGGAGTCACTGTGCACCCTCCACCTTCAACAGGCCTTGATGGAGCTAAGCTCCATTGCTGTTCTAAGGCAAATTCTTCCACATGTAGGTCAGTATCTCCCTACCCTCATTTCCAGTTGTGAAAATGATTCAGAATTTGTCTTGTACCAGATCTTTGCCCGAATCTTGCTTTATAGATGAAATAGAGTCCTATTCTCTTCCAGAGTTTGTGGGCGCTAACACAGTGTTCTACACTGAGCACAGGCTGTTGCCATCAGCTAAGAAACAATGGGCTTTGCTGTATCTGAATGGCTGCTGTTCTTCTAATTTTATTTTCTTCACTTGTTTTTGTTTGTTGTTTTTTTTTTTCCCCAGAGAGCTCTGCACTAAACTTTATAGCACGAGCTGGGGCAATTCACAGAGCTGGCAAGAATTTGATCGTTTTTGTGAGTATAATGCAGTTGAAGTTTCCATGTTGACCTGTTTAGCAGATGTACGAGAACCTTGTCAGCTGGGCTGTAGAAATCTTACTTACTGCACTAATTTTAATAACAGGTAGGAGAGAGACACTGAATATTTTATAAAGGAATACCTGTGCTTTGATTTTAAAAATTAAATAAAATGTTTTTCAGGCCTGTTTTAAGATCATTTGTAGCTGTCTTTCTGCAAATTTATTTATTTTCTTTAAATACTTTGAAAAATAAATAGCTCTTCTTTAGAATAAACTTTTGGAAATGTACTTAACAACAGACATAACAAAACTTACAAGAATAAAAGCCAACCCATGAACTTGTAAAATGTCATAAAGTATTAGCAGCATATTTCTATCTTACTGTATAGACAAGTAAGCCACGATTGGTGGAATGTTGTGTATTATAAATAAGGTTAAAATGCTTGTTAAATTTACATGTAACTCTGTCAAAATTCCTTTTCTTTCATAGCTATTTCTGTGGCTTTATACTCTATAGGGTAAAATGGATGATTTAAAAGTGGTATCTGAATTAGTAATTACAAGGTTACAAATCAAATAGTTTGAGTTTAAAAAAGATTTCTGGCTTCTGTTTGAAATAGTACACAGTGACATGAGTGTTATATGAGTGGTAGAATCACAGATCACACATCTGATAGATGCAGCCTGGGCAGATATGAACGGTAAACCACCTTGCATTAGTGATTCACGAGGAGACATTTGCACAGATATTCAGTATATGTAAGATATTTGCTTTTAAAGCAACTTTCTTCAGGTAAGAAAAATTTAAGTGATACTTGATTTAAGAGGTATGGTGAGAAGTGAGTTTCAGCCTTGATTTTTAAAGAGCTTATTTTCCTTAAAGACAGAATTCAAGTTGATTTTGATCTTACTTGAATGTGGAAGGAATTCATTTCCTTTACGCCACAAAAAGCAATCTGTATAAAGGTTCCAGAATTCGTATGCTGAAAGGTAGAATGTGTGGTCTTTTCTTTTTCATATATACATGCCATATCCTAACTTCTTCTTTTAAGACCAACAGAACTTTTTAGGAGCTGCAATACTCAGTCAGACCAGGGAGCCATGAATGACATGAAGCTATGGGAAAAAGGGAGTATTAAGATGCCATTTATAAATATTCCTGTGCTTGATATTAAAAAATGCCAACCAGAAATGTGGAAGGCAATCGCCTGCTCACTGCAGATTAAACCTTGCCACAGCAAATCCAGAGGGAGTATTATCTGCAAGTAAGTACTGGGGGGTGGAGGGAGGAAAGTTTAGAGATTCTGCTAAGAATATTAATGTGAAGTAAAAAGCAGCTTTAGGACTGTGTTTGACTTACGTTAGGAAAACATGGTGAGGCAAACACAGGAGTATGAGCTTGCTTAGTTGCCATTGCTTGAATCCATCACTGTAAATGGAAGATGATTGCCAGTTAACGAGATGGATGTATATTCTTCCATTGTAAAGTTGATTTATTGTTGGTGGGATTTTGGCTCTCTTTGGTGTCTATAAAACCTTTCCTATTTTGGCGTTTGGACCCTACTGATGATTCTCAGTTGACAGAAAGGTCTGGGAAAAAAAAAAAAAGTTTGGTTTTTTTGATTCTTTTAAATAAATTTTGAAAGTAAGTGATTGGGTAGAGAAAAGCCAGTTAATAGTACGGAGATAGATTTCAACCCATATTAGACATCAGTAAATCAAGGAAATGCTTGGTCTTGAAAGATGCATACATACAATGCCATAGATAATAAAGATCACCAAGCCCGAAGTAGAAGTAGCATAAGCAATAGTTCCTGTCTCTGTGTAACAAATGTGTTCCTCCCAATGTATGTAGAATGTAGCATATACATATATATATAAACACTCTTTGTAAGGCAGAAGGAGAAAGTTGTGGATTCGAGTAGAGTTCATGAAGTTCTGTTTATTTATCTGAAGATCAGATTGTGTGGAAATACTGAAGAAATGTGGAGATCATAATAAATTCCCTGAAGGCCACTCAGCTGAAAGTATTTGTGAGCTCTTATCTCCAACAGATGACCTGGAGAACTGTATCCCATTGGATACATACTTGAGTAAGTATCAACATACCTATGAAACAAAATGAGAAACAAAGATACTTTGAATGCTTGCAATTGCTTTTAGTAATTGTTATTTCTTTTAAAATAGTAGAGAAGATTCTAATTGTCATTACATTTCTTCCTTCTTGTATTGGGCAAGGTTGTTTTGGTAGTGGTAAAAAAATATGTGACAGGATTGTTAAAAATGCTATTTTACTGAGTATTAGAAATGCCATGCTTTACTGAAGAAAAATAAACCTCATTTAAGCCCATATAGATGCTGTAATACTCTCTTTTCAGGCCCAAGTTCTTTAGGTAACATTGTAGAAGACGTTACACATCCATGTAATCCGAATCCATGTGCAGCTAATCAGTTATGTGAAGTAAATAGAAAAGGATGTCAGTCTGGAGAACTGTGTCTTCCGTACTTGTGTGTGCCAGGTAAGGGGTTTTGGATTTCTATTTACCTGAGTTTTGCTGGTAAACTTGTTACCTACCTTTTTCTTGAAAGTTTGAAAGTTAATTGCTAATAACTCAAGGAAACTGTTAATCACAATTACCAAGTGTTTTCAAAAGCTGTAGCCTACCTATTTGCCCTTTTCATTTCTCAATGGATTTCTGTTTTTATTGCCCATTGAAACATAACATCTTTATTAGAAAAAGCATTATTGCTATAGAGGTTGTATTGTCTTCACTTGCTGAAAAAGTCATTCAAAGTGATTTGAAAACAAGCTCACCCAGAGCTTTTGAAGAGACAGTTTACATCCTCCAAAGGTTGGAGGATGACTTTTATGTTTGAATTCGATCTTGCTATTGGTTGAGAGCTGTGGGAATTTGTTGCAGTTCATCACTTCTAGGGTAATTTTAGTCTACTATTTCGTTTATTTTTTTTCCTTGCAATTTTTAAAACCATTTTTCTTTTTATTTTTTTATTTAACCTGGTTTTCCTGCTTTTTCTCACTTTCTCATTTCTTCATCTTTCAGTGTTCACATAAGAGGTACAAATAGGGAAGGAAGATACAATAAAATACATGAGAGAGCAGAAATGGCTGGGGTTTGCTTGTGAGACCCTTTAATTTACATTCTGCATTGGAGAGAGTGAAATGTCTGTGGTATTTGTTATATCACATATGTTTCATACTACTACAGAACTGCGCAAAATGAAATTGCTTCAGAATTGTTGGAATTAGCAGTCTTTCTTTCAGAAGTGACATTTTTACGTGTACTTCAGAACATTGTCTCAAGCAAGTATCTTCTATTTGTGCTACATCTTGCCTCTACGAAATGTGTGAATTTGTCTAACGGGCAAGAATAAGGCTGCTTTAGGAACACCTTAGCTTTTTCACAAGTCAAAGAGCAGTAGTTATTTTTGGTAGTGGTGCTTGTCACAGTATTTACAAGTTAAAATTTCTCATTTTATTAAGGTTGCAAACTGGGAGAAGCCTCAGATTTTATAGTCCGTCAAGGTACACTTATTCAGGTTCCATCCTCAGCTGGTGATGTTGGTTGTTACAAGATTTGCACATGTGGACACAGTGGGTTGCTAGAAAACTGCATGGAAATGCGTTGTGTTGACCTCCAAAAATCATGCATTGTTGGAGGACAGAGAAAAAGTAAGTATTAGAACTTCATGAATTTTGAGGTACATGTAAAGACCTAGAAGATCTGAATGAAGAGTGTCAGAAAATAGGAAAGTTAATGTTTGCATTCCTATACGTAGTATTTGTTTAAATCTAATGGAGAGTTCCATTATTTAAATCAATACTGAACTATATCTCAACCAATATAAGTCCTGTGTGAAGAGTGTTCCTATTGCAGCATTTTTTAACCAGAAGGTCACCGACTCACCTCACATCCACTGCATTTTATGGTACTTGGTAATAGGTAGCTTCCTTTCTGGTAGAACTTGGCTGGTGGGAGCTCTAGGGACTGAGGATGGAAAAAGTTCTGGGAGGAGCCAGTAGGCACCAGGGATGAAGCAACAACAATAAACCAAATAGATCTGCTTTAAGCATGCTGTTTTGAGCTTTTAGCATAGTGTAACTAACTATAAATGGTTGCCCATTTCCTCAGTTCCAACTTCGCAAGTACTCTTAGTCTATTTTTAATAGCATTGGATGTCCAGAGACTGTGCTGAGGATTATCCTTGTGCCCCTACAATATTTCTCAAATATTCTAATCTTTAATCTCAACCCTTTTAAAAGAGATTAAAGAGAATTGCCTTATTTTGTAAGGCACAGCTACTCTTCTATTTCCTTGAAGAGCTGTGTGTTTGTTGGTAGTCTTTAATAACTGATTCGGTTATGGATCAGTCAGCTGTCACCAACATGAATGATTTTACATGAAGGGCAGTCATATGGACAGTTCACAAAACCAAACTGGAATGGCTAAACTGAATAAATGTTTCCAAAGTTTACAGTTTGAATCTTTGAGTCATGTATGCAAAAGTTACTAACTTACAAAAAGCAAAAATTGGGCAGACTGCTCCATCCTTGAAAAGCAGCTCTGGTGGTATAAGTTGCATTATTAAGAACTCATTTCCAAAAGCTAGTGGGTGAACATAGACCTCTCTGTATCTGTGTGTGTTTTGAGCTGAATCTAGATCTGGGTTTCTGTTCAGCTTTGCTACAATCTTTCTCGTTCCCTGCTTTGGACAAAGCTGCATTATAACTTGTACTGCTTGTTGAGGCTGAAATTAAGGCTTTAATGGATATTGCAAAACAATGAAGGCTGGAATGAAGCATTGGCAGTCTTCAGCTCTTGACAAAAAGTACACACAAAGGAAAGAAATGAGCACTACCATGCATTATGTATGAGACTATGGTTGAAAGTTTAGCAGTCTTATATAAAGTTAATTTAGGAGAAGAATGCATCCTTATTAAAGCTTTACCTTTTAAAAAATACGGAGCTTGCTAGCCAGAATTTATCTAGCACTTCGTTTTCTGAGTGTATTACTTTTTGCAGCTTTAAATTGCTCTTGAAAAAGGAAGAGAAAACCTAACTTACACAAGCTTTGAAAGGATAAAGTGCTTCCTTCTTTAATCAAAACCACCTGAGAACAAACTTTAAATGAATAAAGTAAAACTTGAAATAAAAGAAAAAAAAGAAATCACAGGGGTAAAATAAACTGAATAAGGGAAATCTCATGAACAGTTAACAATAAAAATGTAATACATATGAGTATATTTTTATTAATTGCATGCATTTACTTTCTTTTATTTTAAGGCCATGGAACGTCCTTTAATATAGATTGTAATGTCTGTTCATGTTTTGCTGGAAACTTGATATGTTCTACACGTCAGTGTCTAACTGAGCATAGTTCAGAAGATGAACGTCGGAAGTTCACAGGTAACTTTCCAAACTATGGAAACTGTAAGCTTAATATTCTTAGAGCAAGGATTAGCTTCTAAATTCTATCTACATTATTAATGGAAAATACCTGATAACTTACTATTATGATGTTCTCTTAGCTGTTTTCCTCATGTCCAACCTGCACTGCAGAAAAAATGCATACATTTAAAAAAACCCAACAATACTGAAAAACAAAATTTCAGGTAATATCTAAAAATAAAGACAGGGTAGTGCCGCTCAGGACAAGAGATAAGGAATTTGGAGAGAAAATGGAGAAAGCTGAGTAGAATTAGCAAGAAGGCAGGGCACAGACTTCCCTTGTGACTCCTTACAAGCGTGTATGTGCTACAGCATTGGTAAAATACAGGAGGGAGAAATTGCCTGAAGATATGGCACATCCTTCCATTTGCTGGAAGGAAAAGATATCCTAATGACCCTTTGTGTATCTTATGTCACAGAAAATAAGTGTGAATGAAATTCCTGGTTTGTGTGTTGCTTTTACAGGTTTACCGTGTAACTGCGTAGATCAGTTTGTACCAGTATGTGGTCAGAATGGACGCACATATCCAAGTGCATGTATAGCTCGTTGTGTTGGGCTCCAAGACAATCAGTTTGAGTTTGGATCGTGTATTTCCAAGGATCCTTGTAACCCTAACCCTTGTAATAAAAATCAGAGGTAAAAACAGAATGGTTTTAATCTTTTCTTTGGCATCTTCTACTTACAAAACACATTCACTTTTATTTCAATGTCTTGTATATTACAGTAACATTCTCTTTTTGGGATACTGCAATAAAAAAACGTTTGAAGTAGCTTCTTTATGTTTATCACAGTTAGTAATAGACTGTAATGACTGACAGTTTTTGTTTCTGTTTCTGTCGTGCTATATCATTTAAATTCATTATGCAGATACCAGCTATAGCCAGATAATTGAGGCATCCTTTCAAAAGTGGGAGAATCAAATTTTATTGAACTGGATGGGTCTTTTTTACTCCTTTGGTTCACATCTTCTAACAGCTTAAAACAAAAAAAAACAACACACCTGACTTGGAGTCAGTCTTGCTTATTCAGTCAATAGTACATGCTTCTGATTTCTAAAATAGGAACATACCAATCATTCTGGAATGCTTGGGTTTCTTTTGAAACTCTTTGAAAATTATGTCTGTACCTTTTGAAAAGTATGTCTGTATAGCTTCTGGTTTTTTGATGTCAGAAAAAGTCAAATGCGTACAGACATACTAAAACAAAATGCTCTGTACTAGTGTCTCCTAACGTACTTTGAGAAAAGAAAGTATGACCTTTCTTACAGAAATCAGAGTCTGTGGCTCATAATCTTGATCTCTGTCTTCAATTTTCTCAGTGTTGTGCAATACTGCAGTCTCCTTTGAATTTGTACATTTTTCTGTTTTGAAAGCAAGCCACCATAAGAAGTTGTGTAATGCTGTGCTTTCATGGAAACCGATTATAGCAAATTTTTTTTCTCTTTCTGCACTTTAAATTCTTTGGTGCAGAAAACTGCAGCAAATCCACCGTTGTTTTGTAGCTGTAGTAGCCATTATGGCATTAAAAACTGGAATTTCAAATCTGCATTGTGGATATATACTTTTTTATCTTTTATATTTTTAATTTGGAAAATACAGAGAAGTTTTTCAGTTGTAGAATACCATTTTGCTTAGGACCACATTTTGTGGTTTCAGTAAGGGACTGTACAAGTCTTCTGGGTCAGTCTGATAACATAGTGTAAACTAAACATGCTCATTTTAAAGTGTCTCTGAAGCACTTGGAATGTAAGATCTTAAATAGATTCTACTTGTAAAATGTTTAAATCTCAGAATTTCTGAGTCTTCTCTAATGTAAAAGGAATAAGTGTAATACAGAGGCCAGCAGCACTCAGAAAAAGCAATCCAGTAGTAGCACTGTTGTTTGGCACAGGAGAAGGAGATTGTTAAAAATGCCATTTGGCCTTTCATCAGTCTATTCATCAGACACTATTGGCTGGCATTTCTCTAGCAGGGGGACGTTTTCCAGGGCATATGGCAATTCTTTTGCAGATAAGACTGTGGAAGATACATATTCAATATAAAGGGGAATTTCTACTGTTTATTGCTCTTATCTGTCTGTGAAGGCTTGAGAGGGATGACATGCCAAAAAAAGAAAATGGTGTTAATACTGGATTTTTCCATTTGTTTGCAGTCATCCCCAAGATTGGATGTGATGTAATATACTTAACCTACAAAGCCAGAATCCAATTAATATTTGTAATTGAAAGCGTATGATCTTGTCTTGTTTTCACTACCTTCTCAAGGAAGGGTGAGACCAGACCTCTGCAATATAATGTACTTCTCTTGCAATTCAGTTTTTATGTTTTCTCTAGTTTTCCTTAAATATGCATTTACAAAATGAAACTTAGGAGTAGGAAAAGAAGTTTATCCAAGCCTTTTCAAAAAGTCCCTTGAAAAATACTTGGTATGAAAGTTAAATTTTAGTGGAATCTGCAGTTGTGTTCACATACATTGATTAAACATGGTGCGAACCATTTCCAGGTTTGTGATGGGACCTGAAACTGGCCTTTCAGAATGTTTTATGAACGTTTTATGTTTATATGAAGTTATTATTATTTTATGCAGGTGCATACCAAAGAAACAAGTTTGCCTGACTAGTTTTGGAAAGTTTGAATGTAGCCAGCATGAATGTGTGCCAAGGCAGTTAAATTGTGACCAGACACGGGATCCTGTTTGTGACACAGACAATGTGGAATACAATAACTTGTGTACTTTGTACCAAAAAGGAAAAACTTTAGCATACCGAGGACCATGCCAGGTAGGAAGCGGTTCTAGCAAAAAATATCAAATCTTCTGTTCTTTAATGTTCAACTTCAAAATATTCTGGGTTTTATACGTTACAAAAATGTTTTCATTGAAAGTAGTCTTTAAAAATGTAATCTTGACTAGCACCAAAAAAAAAATAAAAATCCAAAATTATATTCAGAATTTTGTCAACTGTTTCTCTGCTTTAGTTAACAGTTGCCTCAAAACCAGTCACAAGCTTTACATAATTTTTCTTGGGAATAATACTCTGATATTTATATTGTCTTCCTATATTTTTCACTATTAAAGTTTGCATTGAGGTACGTTAGCAGTAATTAGAACAGTTCCTTGGTTAGTTAAATGCTAGTTTTTACCATTTCGAACTTGTTTTAAATAAATACTAATGCCTAGTCATAGAAAGTCTTTAGCGTTATGTGTGATTGTGCCCCAGGTTTACCAAGGTCATTGTTCAGGATCTATTTACACCTAAGTTTTGCTGGAAACTAAGCATTCTGTAATACTTTCTTTACTTTGTCTGGATTGGATTAGTCTTCATATTAATCCCTGAGAATGATTAGGATTAGATTTTCTTCTTCGATCCCACCACTTCCTACACTGTTAGTAGACAAGCTAGTTCTGTCACTTTACAAGTCAGGAGCCTACTCTTTTGAAGTTACTGGCTTTACTATTGAAAGGTGATGTGTCTCCAGGTTTTTCTCAATTTATGGAGATTAATTTGAGATGTTCTCTTGGTCTCAACTGATGGATATTCTTATAAGTACAGAACATTTTTTTCAGGCTTTTTCTGTATTATAAATGCTGTTGTTCTTTTAACCCACTTAGTTTCTGCTTTTCTGTCTTTATACCTTCTTTTTCTTGCCCTTTTTCAGCAACCTCGTTAAGTACAGATAATTCTTCTCATTGCACATCAGATATCTCATGAGATTCTCAGAGAATGTTCAGCCCTTGAACAGTAAGAATCAAAGGAATATTGCATGGCTGTGTGTTTTCTCCAGCAGCTGTATGTCTAGTTGTATCCATGTTCACAAAGGTTTTGACACCAGTAGCTTTAAGTTTTCACGCTTCCTTGTATAGGAAAGATGACTGCAAGACATGAAAGTATTTATTTGGAGTGCTCACAGTTACTTGTCCTCTGTATGTTTTGTTGTTAGCTTAGGTGTGTAACATAGAAACTGTAACTGTCTTACTATTTTAGAGGACATACCATAATTGTATAGCTATGGTGACTTACTGAAAGATTAGTTCAATAAAATATTTAGACCTTAGCAAGAAATTATGGAATGAGTTCTGTCATTTCACAGGACTTTGGACAAAAGTACTAGTCATACCTTGTCTGCAAATAGTCAACAATTCGTCTGCTTTTGTCCATATTCAAAAGCTTAAGTTTATTGGCATTTGACCTGTTGAATGTGTTGAACTAATATATATGCACAGGCAGGATGGGAAGAAACTATATGACTGTTTTCTAAGATTTTTACATGTGTGTGAATTGAATGACATGCTAGATACATTTTTCTGAAAGAAAAAGGACATAAGTGTATTTTTTGGCTGTAAAGGTCTTAACAAGAAATATTTTGACAGAAGTATCTTACAATGGATCTTATTTTTTTGAAGTCAGTTTAGCTTCTCAAATAATGTCTTAGACATACATGCACACACTAGATTTTAAGAACACAAACACACATGGAGAGGAAGGAATAAGTAAGTTATTAATAAGACATTAAAACATTACTAATGTTTTACTGGTAAATGAATAAAATATACTTTATTGCATAATAAAATTATAATAATCTATGATTAACTTAATAAGTGAATGTAGATTAAATGGTCATTTTATTTAAGCAGAAACACAGAAAAAAATTGTTGTTTCCCAAAACATGTCTTACTGTACGTTTCTCAGATTCCAACTTACATTTTTCTGTCACCTCCTTTTAGTACTTACTCTTTGCATTACCCATTCATAAACTGGCACATTATTTATGCTAATTTCCTACTTTTTTGAATGCTTGACAGACATCTTAGCAGCAGATTCCCATTAACTTCGTTTTTCCTAATTTTGAAACTACTCTGGAGTTTCTATAGCATGAAAAAACTGATCTTTGAAACATTTCTGTGTTTTTCAGCCGTTTTGCAAATCAGTGGAACCTGTATGTGGACATAATGGCGAAACGTACAGCAGTGTCTGTGCTGCCTATTCTGACCGTGTGGCTGTTGACTATTATGGACACTGTCAGGCTGTAGGTGTTCTCTCAGACTACAGTTTTCATACAGAGTGTGCCTTTGTTAAATGTCCCCAGCTTTCTGCTACTGGCTGCAAGCCGGTTATTGCACCAGGTATGTTAACTTGTTGTTGAAGTTTACTGCAGGTAGGATTCTCCAGGCTATGTGTATAAACAGGTGTATATTTGGAACAAAACTTATGCTTTAAAATACTGTGTTCCATAATGTCTTTGAGACTTCTAAGAGAAAGGATGAAATAGAGATCTTCACTTACAGCTAGAACAAGCCAGTATAAGGACTCATCCAAGTAATTCTGATGGGGAAAGGCCCTAGCTTTAGGAGCTATGCTCCTTCAGCCTAGAAACTTGCAGCTGTACCCATAGGAATGGTCTGGGGGAAACAAATGACGTCTGTAGTGTCTAGGGTAAAATGTCACTGGGAATTAAATGAGTAATTTTTAATAAGTGGCAGCAGAGATACCACACTGGAATGCCAAACTGTCATCACAATACAGTTCCCAGAAGAACAAAGATGATATTTAATGAGAAGACAGAGTAAGATACCATATGTATTTACAGTGCTGTGAAAGAGGAACAGTATGAATAGTTATGCAGTTGTACTCTTCTGAACTGTGGGGTTTTTTTGTTATCACAAATACTTCCTTTGTGAAACAGTAATTATCAACACATAATACACAGAGCAAAGCAAGCTTAGTTTTTGAAGAGATTTATGTATTTTTCTCATTTACAGGCTTGAAAAAGGATGTTCATGCTTTGGTATTATGTTTAATATCGTAAAACTCACTCTGTGAATGTTAATTACATATAAGTGGGGAGTGTAAATTAAATACACAGTTATGGTAGAAAGTTGAAACATTAGCCCTTTGGTTTCTGAAATGGTGAGAAGGACAGTAGAAGAAATAGGACATGCTTCTGTGTTAAACACAAATCTGTCAGGCAAGACATTTTTCCCTCCTCATTTTATAAATACTCTGATCTCCAACATGGTATCATTACATAAATTGTTTGCAATGTGCGTAATTGTTTCTGTCATGTCCTAGCTATTTCAGCTCTTGAATTATTTCTGTAGATGCATATGCATGCATCCATACAAATCCTTGTCTTGTTGCACACAAAGTGCCTGTGGTTCTTATCTTACAGTAACATATCATCTTTGAACAAATGCAAATTCATCCTGTTGCTTCATATTGATAGTAGTAACTCTGTGTTGAAAGGTGATTGCTTTTGCATTATGTTTTCAACATTAAAAAAAATCTTAGAAATAGCACAATTCTGCTGTCAAATTGAAACATTTGCTTTGGTAGTTTTGATATTTTCGTTCTCAGTTAACATTTAATTATTGACCTCTGTTTACCTGAAAGAGAAGTCTGTTTGCCTTTTTCTTTTTCCTGATATTTTTGTTTATTCACATAGGAGCCTGCTGTCCTCTCTGTGCTGGAATGCTGAGAATCTTATATGACAAAGACAAGCTGGATACTTTTGCAAAGGTAGGTAGTTTATCATGCCTCATGTTAAATGGTACATGGAAAAGACAAGTTACTTACTGTATACTCTCTCCTGAAGAGCTAACATATTATAAAACCAATTATTTTTCAGCAGGTAGTGTGTGATTTGTTGTTTGGGTTTTTTTTCTTTATACTGTTTAATTTCACAATTTGAGGTATAGAAATTGAATTAGAATGCAAAACAAAACAAAAGTAGGCACAAACAAGCACATTCAAGTTTGCAATTTAAATGTCTTCTAGTAGTAGAGACAAACGAGATGGGAAATGCATCTATCCCATGGTTGTAAAACACAGCGTATACTTGTTATTTATGGCCTTTCTGTTAAGATTATTCTGCTAGTTCACTAATTTCCTAATGTAGGGAACTTAGTTCTGACATTGTCTATGTTTTAAATTGGATTGCTTTACATTCTTTGGGTTACCTGAATAGCTGTCACTGATTTTGCTGCTCATCAGCTAAAATGCTGGATTTTAATTTAACATCTCCCTAAGTTAGACACCAGCATTCTTCATTGCTGCTTTCTGAAAACCTCCAGTGTAAGATGGATCTTCTCATGTTGATAAGTGAATACAACATGCTACACAACAGACTCCCCATATGGTGTATAAAAGGATTGCACTTCATTGACCCCTGCTTTTATGCTTCAATATATGGAACAGAGTAGAATGCTTGATTTTTGGCATGCGATCACAACAAAATAAAGTAATATGATCATGCCTAGTAAAGCAAAACAGCTCATGCTTGCATCTGCACAATTTACAATTTTTAAATATCAAGAAAGAAGTTCACCAAAAACAGTATAAAATCACATTAATTTATGTCTTTAGAAGTAGAGATAACTGTCAAAACACAGAGTAATTTAACTTGAGCATAACCCCTGGAGATCTTTTAGTCCAACCCCCTGCTCAGAGCAAGTTAACTCCCGTTCGAGCAGCTTGCTTAGCTGACTTGTAACACCCCCAGTAGTGTAGTTTCAACCAGCTGAATGCTCCTGGACTATTCAGGGAGGAGAGGCAGGGTAATCTTGCTGACTTCCCCTTGTCTTGCTCACCTAACACCACAATACACAGTCTTCAAGTTTTCAGAACTCATATAAACGTATATATCTCTTTACATGTAAAATGTGTGATATCTCAAACATTCAAGTCAGCATTCTCTTAGCAAATACTAGAAATTACTGAACTTTGAAGCCTTCTCCTTTGAAAACTTCATTCAGGGGTCGTCCAGTAAGCCCCCAGAGACCATCTCTAACTTGGTCACAGCCACCTAGAGACTGCCTGGTGTGACACTACCCTGAGCTTAGAGAGTTAGAAGCTCTGTGCCTTTGTTATTCTAGCCAGCTAATATCTCCTAATAATACCATAGAAAATACTCAGCTGTGTATTTGAGTAGATTCAATACTTTCTTCATCTACATTAATTTAATGTTAGTAACATTGATCTCCTCTGATTTCATCAATAAAGCTCCAGGACTGGTGTGCAGCTCTTTCTTTTGACAATGTATGTATGCATATAGCATATGCATCCATCGTACTGGAGATGTTTAAGTTTCAGATAGATGAAATCATTGCTAGAAATGCTAGCACACACTTTAACCAAACCAAGAAGGCAAGGAGTAGCACTGTATGCCTATCTTAGTTCAGACAGGTGGTTCATATGAGAAAACACTTGAGAAAAATAGTTCTATAAATTGACTTTTTTTCCCTTCCCTCCTAACATTTGTGCCTGAGCCAGCGTCTGCCCAGAACCTGTGCCCCAGTGATACACACTGCGGGCTGAGGAGTGAGTTCACCTCCAGATACTGTGCTATCAGAACAGTAGGATCTCCATAGCTATGCTATGCTGTGTGGTGCTGTGCTATCCTGTGTGGTGCTGTGCTGTTCTGTTCTATTCTGTGCTATGCTAAGCTGGGCAGTGCTATGAGGTGCTGTGCTGTTCCATTTTAGTCCCTGCACTGACCATTAGTCAAATAATAACCCTGTTATTTGCCTGAAATATCAGATGTTTTTTCATCTCCATAATCATTTCTAAGGACACACAATGATTCCAAGTGGAGAAAGGATTTAATTTAATTTCATTTGTTTAATTTCATTTCATATTAGGAAAATATTCTTGACGTTGAGGGTAGTGAGACCCTAACCCTTCCCTCCCCCATCCTTTACATACCTTCCCCCTTCTGGTCTTTTTTGTAAAGACAGCAGGAAACAAAAGACAGCATCTATACAGAGAAAAAATATAGACATTGCTAAAATGCTAATATGATCTACTAGATTTCTGACCTAAGATATTAAAATCTCAGTTTGACATTACCCATCATCTTGAAGTATCCATGTGCTTCTGTTATAAGACTGTTTGAACAGTCAGTGCGTCAGACTACATTTTAATGGGGCTATGACACACAAATCCCTCAAAGATCTGGTAAAAATGTAAGTGTTGTGTGACAGCTTGCAAATTTGATTCATGTAGTCTAATAGGATTTCCCAGTTTTCCATTTGTTAAGATCCTGTACCAGTGGTCTTAAAAGAAACAAAGTTGCAGTAGGGCAAGAAGGACGGATTTCTTGCAGTTGAAGCTAGAAAACGGAACACAACAGGATGACCAGAAGTCACAAGTATTTGTGTTGATGTCTGTCTAACATTGTTAAACACATCCAGAAGTGACCTGGAGTAAAGGTGAAAAACCTTTAAGGTGTGGCATTCCTTTAACAGACTGAGCATCTACAATCAAACTGTCATACAGACAGCAGAACAGCGGTGAGAATTTTAAGAAAGAAATGTGTTTACCCAGTAGTTACATAGTGATGTTGAAATGTCCCATGTTCCCATATTTATAGATATATCTATGTCTTCACAAAGCCACAGCTCTTCATTTCTGGTGGCTTTTGGAATGGGTTCTTGTGATGGTAAAGGAGTGCCAGCTGGTAGGGCTGCTCTGCCTCTTGTTTCCCAGCATGGGAGTACAAGCTGCTGTAACAGATACCATTTACATTGTTTTGAGGTACATGACGCATATACACACTAACTGTGAAGGTGGAGAATAACACATATGAAAACCATGGTACCTTTAAGAATTTAAGTAGTAAATAAATTTTCCCCTTCTTCCTTTCACTTTTTTATGGTTTTGGAGGGGTCTGGGTTTAGGTTTCAGGTTTTTTTAGAATCACATAATTATTTTTTTATAATGATGTTCTAGAATCATAGAATCATTTAGGTTTTTGGTAGAGATTAAAAGTGAATCATTTAATGGCTGAAACAGATTTTCTGGCATGGCATCAAGTTACTGAAACTGAAGAGATGTAATCTTCCATACTGGCACATCATGCATGAAGTAATTTGTTTTGTTCCAGGTAACAAATAAAAAGCCTATAACAGTACTGGACATACTTGAAAAAATCCGCCTGCATGTCTCAGTGCCACAGTGTGATGTGTTTGGATACTTAAGTATAGAATCTGAAATTGTGATTCTCATCATTCCTGTGGATCAGAACCCCAAACCACTGCAGGTAAACCCTGTTATTTTGTTCACCCAGCATGGACTTCATTTCCATGTGTGTACACTTCACAATTTTTCAATATAGCAGGCTTTAAATTGTGTGGGGTTTTGTGTACTGAATCTGAGGGGATTTCTGTATTGACCCAAATCTGAGTGGCTACTGTTACGGGTGGTAAAATGTGTCTTGAGAATTCTGCTTTTCTCATAAGAGGCTTTTGAGTGTGGGTAGTTATAGGGGAGAGGTGAAGGAAGGCCAAGGGTAAAGTAGTATGATTTTTGTTTTAAAATCAGTAAATGCAGAACCCTCAACTTTCTATGGCAAAAATAACAGAAAATATAAACTGATAAAATATCTTTACTGGCCTCTTACATGAATATTAATTATATGTTAAATGTATACTTGCATATGAAATGGTTGTCTCTGGTGTCAAGGTTAAAGTAGATTGAAGCATATGTGATATTAAGCTGAAGCACATCACGTATACTGATCTTATTAATATGTTGTAAGCATCTTGATGTCAAGCAGTTGCTCATACCAGAGAGGATCTGTTAATACTATTCTGAGACCATCCTGGATTTAATACTCCTTTCTGTTGTACGGTAAAAAGTGCTGGGAGATCCCAAAATGCTATTATGACACTAAAAAGGAAGTAACATTCCGATAAGCTGCCCTGCTTGCTGTGTCATAGCTAGTTCATGCTAGCAAACAAAACCCTAGTGCTCACACTACTGAAGTCTAGAGGTAAACCAACAAATGCAGCTCAGTATTATTTTAGGAGCAGTTATGAGCAATAGAACGAAGGCTTTAGCTATGCATTGCATTATTATCATTGTGGAGCTGTTGATTAATTTTTGACTTTCTGCTTGTTAACCTGTGCAAAACCGGTGAGGATATGTTCTTCCATGGCAAAAAGAGAAATAATAACCTTTTCTTTGTCTCCTTAGATTGAAGCCTGCAATAAAGAAGCAGAAAAGATAGAGTCACTGATAAATTCAGACAGTCCCACATTAGCATCACATGTGCCACTGTCAGCTCTAATTGCATCTCAAGTGCAAGTTTCGTTTAGCATTTCTTCTCCTTCTGTTAAAGTGGTGCCAGTTCTGCATTCCCTGTTCATAAGCCTTTTATTCACTTTGTCAGCATTAATATATTATATGTAACTGCTTAATGCATGAATATGGCAGTTCTTTTATATTGTGAAGGACTTTCAGAATTGTTGGTCACTAAACCAGGAAACAAAAATTGTAGAAGATTTCATGAACTAATATTTTTCAATGAAGAACTATTGTATTTGGAATACTATTGAAAAGATTATTCTTTTATTGGTTCCTAGTCAGATGGCTGTTTCAGCACAACCAGATTGTTTTCCATTCATCTTGGAAACAGAAATACTTTGGAAGGTTCTGACATTATGGATTTATGATTTGTGCAAGAAGGGATCTTACAAGGGTTTTTCTGAGCAATGAAGAAAACAGTGTTTTGAATTTATTGAAGAATGTTAATTCTATATTATTTAGATGCGTAACAGTGACAACAAAGAACATGCACCTATTTTAATCATCATTTTTTGGAAGAAACAAGTTGCTGCTACTTACTTACCAAAAATTTAAGAGTTTGTTCTCATGTAAATATGCTTTCGTATTTTATAATGAAGAAAACTAATGAGCCGTGGGCCTATTTCAGTAGACATCTTTACCTGGACCGGTGAAGATTTACAGGACATTGGGCTCAATGCTCGTAAAATGACAATCAAGCTCTATACTAGTACCTGACTTCAGTGAAGAAGTATGTTCTTTTTATCGTTTTGTACATTTCAGAAACTCATATTGGATGCAAAATTACAAAGAATCTCAGTATCTATATTTAAGTGCCATTTAAAATATTGCAGTATTTGCATGTTATCTAATGAAATTTATACTTTAAATGTTTATACAAACAGTATGTTTTATTACTTACTGTATTTTATGCACCTGACTTTAGCCTACATGAAGTATTTTATATCAGTATTATGATAGCCAACTTTTGAAGTGTATACAGAAAAACTTATTTTTACCAAAATGCTGAACTTTGAAAGAAAGCACTGAAAACTTTTTGAACGTGTATGTTGTTGTAGCATGTTTGTAGCAGTTATTTTCTGCTAAATCTTAAATGCGGAAGTATTAAAGCTTTTTATTTTAATAAAGCACTTTGTTATGTATCCTTGTATATTAATGCAGGCAATTTTGGAGAATTCTGCAATACACTTAAAACTTAACTGCAGTTACATACATGTGTGACACAATGTTTTCAAATAAAGTATTTTTTAAAGGGGGGGTTGGGTTTTTAGGGTTTTGTTGATTTGTTTGTATAACCAAATCTTTGTCACATGCAAGTAAGTCTATGCTACAAGTGTCAAGACTCTACTTAGAAGAAGAATGTACCTGTCTTTATGGAACCCTCTTGGGTAAGGTAACAAGTCATCCTCAGTTTTGATTTGGAAGATAGATACTTTTCTCATCTACAGATGGAAATCTGCACAGATGTTACTGAAAGAACTACTACCTTGTTTGTACCTAGACTTTAAGGCTCAACCTTCTCCAAAGCAAACTGAGAGACTAGATGTGTATAACTGCAAGCTGACAGATCAAGTTTCCTTGAAACCTCCATCAGTTGCTTTTCTAAGCATAGCTGTTGTTTGTTGTCTCTTAGTGAGTCAATAGCAGTTTTATATTTTAGGTACAGTTGTACTCTATGTATAGTTTCTGAGTGCTTTTGGTAGAATAAAAATGCAGACAATCTTTGGAAGTGTACTTGCCAAATAATTCCAGGTACATTCTCATCAAAGTCTAGATAGAAAAAACTTGTTGAATATATTGATAATCCATCTGTTTCTGCATTTTCTTCTGTGAATTCTTTAGAAACCCGGATACAAGAATATCATGAATGTATCAGAAAAGCTTTTTGAGCTGAAATGGCTTAGATCATTTCCCAGAAACTGCAAGCAATTCAGATGGTTTATTGAATTCCTTATTTTTTTTTTCCAAATCCTTAGCAAATATGTAGCCAGTGTCCATAGCTTCAACACGTTGTTTAGCTTGCTTAGCATCTAGCTAAAATTAAATATGTACAGAACCAGTGAGATTTTGTATATTCCTAATTTCTTGGACATAAGTCCAGCATCCACGGTGTAGAAGGCTTAAGTTCTTCTTGCTGGATAAACAGATGTACTTCAGTGTTTTCCAGGTTTTATCAAGACCTTAGACCACCTCAAAGGAGTTCTAATTGCAAGGTACGAAATTTGAACCAAATGGTGGCAAAATTTGATAGAGGTTCCAGATGTGCTTTTCCTTTAAGTGCTAATGATGTTCTGTCACCATCTGTGTGGAAATCTGGGTTCACTTAAGAAGGAATGAAGACAGCACAAGGGCACTTCAAAGCAGCACAAGCCTGTTTGTTGCTTTTATAAAAGGACCCAGCTGAAACATTTACAAAACATTACTTTCTTGTCTACTGAAAACCAGAGTTCACGTCAATAACTGGCTCCAGAGAGATGCTTTGGTTTGTTTAGTTTGGCTCTTTTCAACAGGGTGACAGCAAAGCGGAGATGCCGGCAGTGCCTGCGTGTACACCCCTAGGAGTGGATCAGCCACAGGGGCAAATGTCAGAGCAAATAAGAACAAGAGATTTCTGGCTTATGCTTTCTGCTCATGTGATGAAAGTCAGTTCTGTGAGAGGCCATGAAATCATCACTTTGAACCACACAGTCACTTCATAGCCCACTCTTCTTTCATGCTCTAGTTTTATGCTACTTCACCCAGGGTCATAATGTGGAGATTTGCATGTATGTTTCTTGACTGAAAAGTAAAGTGTTATTTATACATCTTTACTCAGTTTATGACACTTTCACTACAGTAAAAATGAGACCCTTCTATCATTAAGTAAGTAGTACCTCAGCTTTTGCTAAAGATTCAGTTATTATACTTAAAGCTGATCAGTCTGTGCAAATATAATACTACCAACATTTGCATTACTGGAGACTGGTTGAGTATGACCAGTATGGTGTGAAAGCAAAGGTGACATTAATAGTGCAAAACATTTCTTAACTTTAATGGGTTTTGTACATACACTGCTAAATGGAGAAAAGGATGTGCATTTCATCAATACAAGAAACAAACTTTATACAGTGAGAACAATCAATCACCAGGGATGTGGTGAAGTCCCCCATAACTGGCTGTTTTCATGATGCAACTGGATAAAGTGCTAGATAAAGCACTGAAAGGTTGGACCAGATGCCCTAAGGTCCCTTCCAACCTGAGCTAAGGTTCTATGATTAAAGAAATACTTCTAATTGCAGTACATGGAAACTTTCAGCTTATTAAATCATTTTCGTATCTTACAAACACTGATTCATTTGTTTTCAAAATGACATATACAGTAACTAGTATTTCCCATTTCAGACAACCTTTTTCATAATTTATACAGTCAATCCTTTAGAATATATTTAAATACACTAAGTTTTATTTAAATTTTGAATTTAAAAATTCAACAGCTTCATAAAGCAACAGCTTTTATGATCAATAAGTTCTTTATCTTCTACTTACAGTCTCCAGTGCTCTCTGGGAAAGAGTGGAGGAGGTCAAACCTTTACATTAGGCCATTATTCTCAAACTATGGGCTACTGTTACTTAGAAATAGATCCATGTTATTTTTAGTAGATGTAGCACATCGCTGCTACAAATTCCTATGCACTGACATTCCCCCTTCTGCATTCTTCAACGTGAACAAAGTTACATATTCAAACACATATTCATGCTAGATATCTTGAAGGAGACTTACCCAAAGGGCAGCAGTAAAATCCTTAAAAGTGAGAGCTCACATAAAAGGGTGGGTTTCTCCTTGCAGGTCCTGGGACATACAAGAGAATAAAACACAAAGGATAGCCTTTTCCTGAGGATGCAAGAACTCAGGAAATAATGCAGAAACCTTGTCATTGCTTATATAAAGAATGATTGTTACCTTAATTTTTCATTAGATGATCAGAACTGTGCTGATCATTATTTCTAGCTATAACGTATCTATGAACCTTTAAATGACTTCCCAATTTGTTGTATTACTACCTGTTCCATCTTAAAACAAAATGTATTTATTCTCCCCCAAGAATATTTTCTGATTTGCCTTCCTTAAGAGCTGGTTTCTGCTTCATTTGGCCAGGTCCAGTAAGAAGAGGAACCTGAGCCAAAGGCTTTTGATGGTTCTGTAGCTCTGACAGTACTTAATAACCCTATAGATTCTTGCTGTAAAGAGCCACCCTTCTGTTTTGGCACAGGCTTTCTGTTGTATCTGGCAAGGTTCTTCAGTTTACAACTTTGCGGTTGGATCGCAGCATCAGCTGCAATCTATGCATGGGTTTTCAATCTGTTTTTTTGTCAGTTCTGATTCTCCTCCTACGCTAGCGGTCTTCTAAAACACTTCGAATAATCCTAGAGAGTAATCATATTTTTAAATTCAGATTCCAAGTACAAATTGCACTCAAAGATGCAGGATCAAACTCTTTGATTTGTTATGCAGTGTATACGTGGCACTGTCAAGCTACAGGAGTGCAAAAAGATGAAAAAGACGTCTCTGGATTTCTGTGTTCTGAGGTGCACCCATTAGCAGCAGTTCATTTTGCTCTGAGTTAGCAACACTCCAGTCCCTCCTGGTCAGGATAATTAGAGCAACTTCCAAGTACCGGCATGAGTGCTGACACTGGTCAGGAACAGCTGTCAGCCCCCAGAAGTTCAGTTCCCTGCCATAAGAAAGTAAGTTTAAATATTTGCAGCCATTAACTCCATACAGAAACGGAGCTGCTGCCAGCAAGGCTGTGGCTGTACTGTCATTAGCAATAGTTACAGCTGATCTGAGCACCAACTTCATCCAGATCAGAAGTAGGCACATGACTTGGCCACAATACAAGATACAGGGAGCAGCCTGTCTGGTTTTTATGGTGGAAAACAAATGCTGTCATAATCACATTCTCTGAGCATGTGTTAAATCTGTCAGGCCGTGTGCATTTTGATTTTTTTAACACGTTTGAAGTGGCAATGTAAACTCTGGATCAGTACCTCACCGCTGAATGTTTTCTTAAATGCTGCTCATACCCACAATGACGGACTTCTTGTGCCCCTGAACCACAGCTTTAAGACCTCAGTCAAGACCCAGATGAACAAAGAAAGATGTGAGAAATACAAACACACATTTCAAAACCAGAGGAACAAACAAACAAACCAACCAACCACTATGGTATTTTTAACTCATACTAGAACAGTCAGGAAGACAAAGTACTTACGTTTTAACTTATTATGGAGTGAAATTGTGTCTTTGATCTCCGAATGCTTCTAGTATTGTTCGAGACAACATGGATCCTTAATTCCAGGGCTGTGCTACACAGCTTTTTCTCAACAGTAGCGCCCTCTGCAGTTCTCAGCACGGAAAGTGTCAGTGGTGAAGTACCCATAGTGTTGGACAGAATATTGTCTTTAAAATATTACCAGATCTGGCCTTCTCTGTGCAATGGAAAACCAGTAGGTTTAGTTTCCCTGTTTCCACAAATCACACTGGATTGAAACTTGATTCTCCTAAAGGCACAGGATACCCCCACAGAAACATAAATAGCATTTACAAAGCTTTATAACTGGATTTTCTAGGATAGCTTGCTGATTTATTTCCCAAAAGACAAATACTACTTGGAATTGCTGAGTGTTCCTTTAGCTTACGGTGAACACTGAGTTGTGCATTTGGTGCTGCTACGTGGAAGTAAATCATATGCCATGTTCCTTAATCTCTCCTCCTTGTTGCTGTGTGTTTTGCTGCAGCATAGCAAAGACTATGGGCACAGCTAGAAAAGTCTGGAGACTCCTTCATAGGGTTCCTTACAGTCATTTTAAGAATATGAAAATTGATGGCTATCTCTTTTTCATATTCTTCAAAGCTTTCCACAACTCCCATCATCACATAGCTCCCCACCATCATTTTCAGCTTTTATTCTTCATTATTGCAGCAGCTGCAACTTGACCATTTACTTGCCAGTACAAATGAACCTTCCTCACACAGCACTAATAATTACAAAAACTTTAGCTATGTGGTTTTAATAACAATTTAGAAAACAATGTTCTTGAAAAACAGAGGCTGCTGATCTCCCCTCAACAGAGTGCACTCCTCTGATGAGAATACAACTCTGTGTGCTCCATTACTTTGTCTTACATGAGTTAACTAGCCTGATGTTACAGCATAATTAATGGGCATCGCTTATGTACGTGCTATGTATGAGTGCTACCTTTTTACTTGTGTACACACTAGTGTATACAGAAGTGTTTTGTTACTGCAGCAGCTCTTTCCTATGTCCCATTAAACTGATTTGAAAACTGCAGAATAATTAAACCGGAAGGAAAATACCTGTCTTACCTCCAAACTGCAATGTAAGTTAGCACTGTTAAGGTATCAGGTTGTGTGTTATGGTGTATTCTACTGTGGAATCCCACATTTGAAGTCACAAATGAAGTTCTCCAAGTTTTGCCTTTTTGCTGTTGGGGCTTTTTTCCCCTTCCTCCAAGTGAAACAACTGCCGTGGTTTCACAACATTGTTTGAATTCTGATCCCAGATGTAGACTTCCCGTGCTTACGATACTCTGTAAAGAAAAAAGGAATTCAGTTAGACATCCAAATTCTCTTCCAGCGTTTAGCACAACCGAGCCATCAAGCCATAATGTATATAAACATGGTATCACAGTCACAGATACCTACTTCCTTCTGTTGTAGTACAAGGTTTGCTCTCATTATTTTACAGCTAATGACCACCATGCTATTAACAGGGAATAACGAGTTATGACTTTGTCTAAGCACCCCAATCACAATCTCACCTATGTTTACCTCTTCAGCCAAAGCAAGTGTAATTATGGTCTATAATCATACCTCAAAACATGCTAATTATGAACTATTGCCTTCCTAGCTTTAAAGGGGTGCAACAGGAGAAACTGTACAGGCAGAAAAAGTCAGAGTAGTAAAACCACTAAACAGAATGCCAGCAGAAGAGAGAGATAGAAACTATCTCCATCCATATGCGATGTGATGGGGGTACACCACCACCAGCAAGCTCAAGCAGGGACTTCTCACCCGTTTTCTAGGAGATGGAAGAGTGAGGAAGCACCAATGACAACAGAATTTTGTAGCATTAGTAACATGGCAAGTAATAGGATGCAATGGGGAGCTGTGTTACAAGTTTCTCAGGTTAGTTAGTTGTGATGCAAAAACTGCTCACAGTTGTGACTGTAATGATACCAAATTATGTTACCCCATTATTTTGTCATTACTTTTCTTTCATAACGGTTGCCATTCTGCAAGTCTGAGGTGAACTTCTCTTTCAATCATCAAATGCTTTCTAGTAGCATAGTTGAACCTGAAGTTGGGTTAACCTGCTTACTGTTTAGCTGTTCAAACCATGATGGTCTGTGGCTGAATGAGCCACCTATGGCTCCAATACTGCTCATGGAGAGAAATAAGCATTTTCAGGATGTAAAAATGTGTTATAGGGTAAGAAAGATTGCACTCCAAGAATACCTGTCTGGTCACCTGGTCGAAGGAGAGCTGCTCTCACTGACCTCAGAAATAGTGTATCTCCAGTGCATGTCTGTCTGTCTGCCTGTCTGTCTGTCTACCTAATCTATCATGATGCTTTTCACTACTCTCAGAACAATTTTTAGCCGGGCTTAAGCATACTCAAGAATAGGCAAGGGCCTGATTGCAATCTGCTAATACGCTTCCGTGATATCCGCGGAGAGAAGTTTCTCTTGGCAAGTGTTTAAAGAACTCCACAAACAACGAGGGTGTGTGCAAGGGCCAGACAATCCGAAATTCTCTTTGAACTTCTCGTATCGTTGCTGCCACATCAAGGATATGTGGAGTACAGAAGCACTGCTTGAAGCACAAAATGTTACCAGTCACTGTGACCCTTCCTGCTCCGATGGTGTAACTCATGATCCATTATACCTCTTACCCATTTTCTGTTACACAGTTAGACACACACTGATGCTGGCACTCAACAAAATAGAAAATACCCACAGTAATAAGGAGACTGAGTTAACATCGCTTGGAACAAACTCTGGAAATGAACTAATTATTCAGTATGTGTTCCCAAAGCCATTTCCAAAACTGAACAGGTCACCTGAGTTTCGTTTGCACAGTAGTGATGTACATCAGACACGAACTGATCCAGATGAAGGCAACAGCAGCACGATCTGAAGAAGTCTCTTCCCACCTCAACCATTCAATGATTCTGTAATAAAGCTCTGAGTAGCTGAAAAGCAGCACTATATATGCTAACCATTTTGCTGGTCTCCTCGATTATTCTGCATTTTTTAAATGTGGCTATCTCCAGTACTTGAAGCTCTAATCCGTGCCGTATCTTCTCTTTGCAAGTTAATTCCAGATCAATTAATCCCATTGCAACAACACGTATCACTTAATCAATGCATCTTTGACATATTTTACTTTGTGCATCCAACCTACCTGTAGCCATCCCACCGTGCTGTGGGATCCACCAGGCAGGTACTTGACACCTTAGGGAAAAAAACGTCACTCAACTCAGCCAGAAGGTTGAATTTGTCCAGTCCCTACCTCCCAGAATAAAAGGGGCTAAATACCCAGTAGTGCTCTTGACTTGAACAGAAGCTCTGTGTATTACTTGGGGAATGCAAACCAGAATTTAGCAACATTTCTTCTGTGACTGAAGGAAGTGTGTTGAAAACGAGTTATAAAACCGATACAGGAATCCTCCCCCAAACATGCATCAGATTCACAGGTCCAGAATTCCTGCTGGTTTGTCTGCAGGAAGAGATTTTTTGTAGATTGCATTAATTTGATGATTTTTTTTTTTCAACAAAACATCCAGTATGTGCTAAGGGTCTTTTTAGAAATGCTTCTGTGGACTGTTAACAGGACTGAAGGCCATTTATAAGCTCTCTGAGGTGTTTGGCTCAGGTTGGTATTTGCTGAAAGCAGTATACCAGAGTTTCTGAGAAGGAATATAACTGTCCTTAAATTACATACAGAAATAGCTAGGTACAGCGTGGCAAGCATTCATTTTGGTAGACTCTGGGGGACACTGTGTCCTTGTGGTTTTAAAACCAAACTGCAACCATAAGATTAAAAATATAAACACTGTGGCCAGGGCTCCCCACAGAAGTCCCATAGGTGGCATCACAGCACAAACTTCTGCTTTTCATTTACAAGGAATGCAACTGTTTGGGGAAGGTTTTTTTCCTAACCTAGTGCTTTGCTACAGCTTCAGCTCTGTCTTCTGTGCCACTTCATTCTCAAAATCAAACCTGCACAGGCCTGACAAGTCTCTCTTGCTTGACACAAATATATGTTCTCCTGCAGATGCCCACAGGGAAGTATTCAGGACTGCCCCAAGGATGTAATTCTCCTGTACCTAAACTAGCTTGTTGCTTTTGAATGCATTTTGAGAAGCACATCTGACATCGAGGACATGTATGGATGTGTTCAACTGTTGGCATGGAAGTCAGCCAAATGCGTATCAGTAATTTTTGTCATTAGCCATCTACAAAGTTAACTACATGTTTCAAGAGGCTAATCAGACAGACACACACTCTCTCAAGGCTCCAATCCTTCTGAGAAAAAAAGTGAGCATCTCTGATTTTTTAAGGAAACCCTGGCTGTTAATCATGTGCATGGACATGAAAATACCATAAGCTACAGTAAGTGCTATTGTCTTAATTTGGAAGAGGGAAAATCAGCAAATGAGGAAACCAAGTTATAGCTGAAGATGCCACCAATAAGACCAGGAAAGACAAGAGAAGCTAAACCTTGCAGTGTGTTTGATAATGTCAAGAGCTGTTGGACCATTTGTCTATCAACCAGAAAGAACATTATGTATTACTGGTAAACCAGCATCTGAGTAATAACCAGTCGATGTCAGCACCGTTTCTTCTCTGGTATCTGGGGGCCTCCACAAGTGGAGGACTGGGAAGACCGGTGAGGAGCCAAGGTGCACAGGATCCAGCTCCAGTTCAGAAACGGAACATCCCTGATGGCTGATGACCACCAGGGCACAGCACCTCTCACTCCAGTGACAGCAACGCTGAACTGTTTGATGCACAGCCACCTGCACACAACGTGTGTGATCTGCTGTTGAAAAGAAAAAGGATTAAGTTGAGGTATAGACATTTCTGTGCTGAGCCTCAGCTGGATGCCCGACCCCAACCCTTTGCTTCTCCTTCACAGCTCTCCATGTGGTTTCTGGGGCTGCCTGCACTGGCTGCAACGTGAGTGCTTTCCCTGAACACCCCCCCTGCTACATGCACATTGAGTCTTGGATTAAAACAGCACCTAGTATAGCTTCCACCTGCTCTTCAGGCATGTTCTCCAGAGGTGTCTCCTCTGACCCAACTTCAGGAGGCCTCAGACTGCACACCTTGAGTGCCACAGACTGCTGCTCACAACCTGCACAGACGCAGGGTAGGTGAGGCAAAGCTGACTTGTCATGCAAGTAGAAATAGTGTATTTTTATTTAGCAGTATGAGGGGAAAGCAAGCTTAAAAATTCACCCTTGCAGGGTTTATTGCCCTGCTCAGGGCTTGTCACCAACACAGTATTTCCGGTACAACTCAACACTCCTATCCCAGCTGCCCCTGCAAGTCTTTGCCCTTCTAATTCGTACAAATCCACCTCCCATCTATAGAGGGAACAGAGCTGGCCCCAGCAGCTGAACATCTTGTAACAGTAACATCACTGTAACCAAATGTTTTTATAGCTGCAGATTCCAAAAGAGAACTCCACTTCTCAGCATGATGCAAATACTCCATCTACAGCATGAAAACCTGGCCCGCAAAAGCACAAGTACATCTAACAGTGCTCAGTTTCGTGGAAGTAACAGACCTGGCAGAGAGTCACCACTTTACTTTTGCCTACTCCAAAACCAAACAGAAAGTGGACACAAAGTGTGAAACCCACAGCAATACTTTCAGGTATTTCTATGAGCAGCTGACCTCATTACCCCAGAGATACACGTGGCTCAGGGCAACAGAAAACGTGAGAAGCACACAGAAGCATCCGCTATGAAGAAAACGTAGACCTTTTTTTAATACATCTTTTTGCAAAGCTCTATTCCCTCAGGAGCCCTGGGAGTATTAAGAGGAGTTCACTGCTCTCGTGGCTGTTCTAGGTCATCCCCTCCTTCCCCAAACTAAAGCATCCAGAATTGTATGTGCAATTTTCTTAATATAATTTTTATTGGAATATTTTTAAGTTTTATATTTAATAAATATTTCACATTTTATTTCTTAGAAGCATAATATTTCAGAATAATTCTTATTAGAAAGCCTCTAGTCCAAGCTTTCCAATACACCTGATAAAGAACAGAAATGGTATCAGAAAAATCTGGTGGCAGAGCTCTCTCTTGCAAGAAGGGCCTGAGAATACATGGTCTCCTGACAGCCCGAGGCCCCGTTGGTACAGCAGCACTGACTGCATCAGCCCCATGCCTCGGCAGGGCTCTGAAAAAGCTCCCCCATGGCATCTAGGGACCCCAGCCCTCAAAACACTCCTCACTTCTGCAGGGACCTACTTGAACCTGCCTCCAGTCAAGGCCACATCCAGCAAAACCCAGTCCCCTACAAACACACCCCAGAAAGAAAAAGCATGTGTGAGGCACAGCCCGCCACCCTCACAGACAGACCTTTCGGGAATTCCGTGGCAGGAGCCATCCCTCACGCAGCTTTTATCAGGGAGCTCCCGCTCTACTTCAAAACCACCATGGCAAGTGCCCTGCCCTCACCAGCTGCCCTTTCAGCCTGCCACCAGGATCCTTTTCCGAAATGAGCAGTTATCCCTATGGAGACTGTCCAGCACTGTGCTGTGATTGCTACCAGATGACACCTTTCACTAGTGCAGGCTTCTCCAAGCCCTAACCAACCTGGCCTTGAACACTGCCAGGGATGGGGCATGCTCTTGCTAGTACTACCACTGGCAACTCTCACTCACCAAAACACAAGGAGCCAGGTCCTGAGCCCTGCGCAGCCATTCTCTTTCTACCAGGGGCAGCCACTTCACACAGTTCCCCTCAGCTGAAGTGCTCGTGTTCACCTCAAAACTGGCTTTTTGTCCAACTGCACTCACTGTTTCTGAATCTCATGGCCCTACCCCTAGCAATGGTTTTGTATGATCCCACACTGAACACGGATGTGGTCGCATTCCAACCTCTGTTTGTGCCAAGCTTATCATCAGCCTTGAGCTGCAGCAGCCAAGCAGGAAAACTTATGCTGGCTAACCTTTATGCATGTGTGTTTATAAATCATGATGTTGTATTAAGCCCCAACACATTCTTCAAATACGACACTGCCTCTTCTCTACACCAATGCTGCCTGACAGCTTCTTTTCCATTAACAAGTCTGGTTAATAGACTTACATTTTTCATATCATTTGTAACATTAAGATCACAGTCTTAACAGCTACCTTAAAATGAGTGCTTATTCCAAAATATGCAAACCAAGACAGAGCAGATTCATCTGTACTGCTTACACTCTTGACTTCTGCCTCTGCTGACACACAATGCTACATGCAGGATCATTTCTAACCAGCCCACCTTACACATTTAGCTTTGCTGAGGACTACATGAGGCCACTGTCGCATTAATCAGAATCCGAACACATGCATGGTCACACACACAGCAGACTGACAACGCTTTCAAAGGTAACTGTTTTCAACCAAGTAATGCCCTCGCAACCGTAATTCTCTGCCCAGTTCAGGAGAGGCACTAAACCAAAGTGCTAAACTTCAAATGCCACACCACAAAGATCTGCTTTGCTCATAAATACCCCTAATTTATCTCTTTCACATATGTTTTGCAGAGGAAGGAGAGAAAATTCTTCCAACCCTTAACACAAGCTATGCATATTTTCTGAAGGCTTTTTTGGTCTTTTTTTTTCTCTTGCTGCTAGACTGCAGTTTTTATCCATGTACCTGTACTTTGCTACTTAGCATTGATCATCTTTCCTAGAAAGGTGTGTCCACAGTTAAGTTTGACAAACTTATTTTTCAAAATGGCACAGCCACCTGCAGTAGAATTGTAGTTTTATAGAAATATTTGTTGGGAATTGCACACCCAAAATTATATTCAAGAGCTACTTAAATGCCCCTGAGCTTTCCTGAGCAACTTAGAACTGTGAAGGGAAAAGTCTGTTGTGATGGTGAACTGCAGAGATCTACATAACAACATAGTACTGGAAACCAATCACAAGCGTGTTTTGGGTTTTGTCACCCTCCAGAACATCAGTTCATCAAAGAATATTAATGTAACTCCCACCACATAAATGTATACAGAAGAAATATGACCAGATTACATTATAATCCTTCCTATTATATATTCAAATAATAAATTATCACACTATTTCGGAAGCACGACTTTTCTGCTCAAAAACTCAAAATGCAACAATGTATTTCTCAAACGCAAAGAGACTTCTCCAACAGATTTCAGAATATATGCAGCTATTTTTAATGATTCCCATAAGGAACAAGTACTTGCTACAATCATCCTGCAAACCAGCCAGTATTCCCAATCGGATTTCTTTTACAGCGGACCAGAGCTTCGCTCATGTCTTTTAAGGACTTGCATTCGGGAAGTGCAGAGGGCAGCTCCTTTGGTAGACTTGTTTTCCCCAACAGCATATACCAGGTGTGTCAGGCCCTGCCCTTAGAAAAGTACCAGAGAGGCATTTACTACACTGCCCACACACAGCCCTAGACAAGGGCAGCAGCATCCTTCCAGACTAACACTTCCTAATCAAGTGACTTCACACCTGAGAAGCCTACAACAAAAGCCTGATGTAGTTAAAGCCACTGATGCAACTTACCTGTTTTCAGGCTCCTTGGCTTTCCTGAAAACCATAACCATACTATGTCTCAGTCACTATCAGATTTCAAAATTTCATCTGGTTTTTGTTTATTTCTGAAGTCCTTACTCAATAAGAGCAGAGGCATATAGTGACAGCAAATTAGTACCAAGATGTAAGAACACCAGTCTCTACAAAAACATGCAACTGTTAGTAGACATAATAAAAAATATTAATATAATGCACTAAAGTGTACCTAATGCACCTGGATCAACACTTTAAGGTCAGACTTACCTTTTGCATCTTTTAACAGCTATTTTGCACCAAAGAAGAAACTTTCACATCAAGTTGCCTGAATATATTAAAGAGGGGGGAGGGGAGCAGTGGGATAGGTAATCATTTGCACACACATCTAAGAGAAACTTAGGAAGTTGGTTTATTCAAAACTGTGAAATCAAAGTCCAATAAAGAAAATGCTTAACATCACCACTGGACACTATGCAGGAAAACTGGTAAGACTGGACTGTTCCCTTGGAGCTCCCAGCACAGATGAACCCTGAAATGACTTCCCAGCTCCCTATTCCAAGCCACATTGTTACCTCAAGAACAATCTTTAACCATTCATGGCAAGCCCTCCCCTCATGCACACTGCCAAATTCCTTCCTGCTGGAGTTTCACTGATACCAGCATAAACCACCCGAAATGTGGCAGGGCTCACAGTACTGAGGCTTCAAGAGTGAAACTGAGTGCTCAGACTTCGGAACTTCTATAGAGCATCCATCCTCATTTCTCACTCAGTCTTTCAAATGGATTAATGAACTGTGCTGCTCCCAAATATCATATATTTATTTTTAATGAGCTATTATTAAGCTAGATCACCACACTGGTTTCTTACTCACAATCACTCACTGTGGTGAGATGTGCAGACATTCCCAGAAATGGTGTCTATGTCAAATCAGCACTGCTATTAAATAACTAGGTTTTTCCACATAGCAGATTCTCTCAGTTTAAGTAACCATATGTTGCATACACATCAAAACTCTCTGAAGTGCTCAATATGAAAATATCAAGACTATATCCAAAATAGAATTTCAAACAGCTTATAGAACTTCAGGTGGGCAGCCACCAAATTCTGCTAAAAAGTGTCATGCCCTTTTAGAAACTGCACCAAAAACATTCCGTGCCTGCTTTAAAAACTAGTGCACAGGCAAAAGTACACTTACTGCTTAAAAAAACAGAAATAAGCTTGCACATCACTCTTTCCTTGTAACACTGGCACAAGTGAACTGACGGGACAGCCTGCTCCATTTTTTTTTTCACCTGGGAAAGATGGGTGGAGAGAGGGGGATGAACACTAGGGAAAAATTAATGCATATTTTAAGTTATTTATTACATAACTGGCCAGTAATGAACACTGGAGGCACTGTCTGACAAGCAAAATGAAACCAAGCACACCCAGAAAGAACAGTAACAAACAAGGCTTCAATGTGGCCACCAGTACTATAGCTTATTCTTCAACTGAAGTGAACCTTCCCAACAGCTCTTCCATAATCTGTAATAGGGACGGTAATTTACATTGAACAAGCTGATCTATTTGTGTTTTATACTATTCTTACGCTTTCTAGAGGACAATAAAGAACAATCACTAAGTATCATTGGTTCAGGTACTCAACAGTTCAAAGTCTTGATGCTACCAATCTACCCAGTTGCAGTTTGTACAATTTCTGCCTCAAAAGGCTCTGAGCCAAGATCTAACTTCCTGGGGGAGGAGGCAGTGCTCAGTGTAGTGCCTCCCCCTGCTAACCTCATGCAACAGCTATTTAAAACAAAAATCGCATTCTTCACCAAACTTTGGTGGTATTTGGGTAGGATTTCTACAGATAAGTGATGTGTAAAGTCATCCATTCCATGTATCAGAGCAATCTGACTCTCTGCAATGCAGTTTTGCTTTTTGAAAAAGAAAATAAACCAAATGCTGCTACTACTGCTGCACAAGCTTTGAACAACAGGTATTTAAACAACCAGGCTTCAACACCAATGAAAAACTACTTCTCGTTAGCAAGATTTAACGGATAACACACAACCATTTCAAGTCAGTTAATGATAACACTTCAAAGGGCACCACCAAGTCACTCAATCCCCACCAAGTTAGTACTAGTTAGACAATACAAGTCACCAGATTTAACTGGCACAGGTATTTTGGCTGAGGAAAAAAGAAGATTGCCATCTATTTTATTGCTACCAGTGCATCAGGAATTTGAAAAGGCAATGGACGTAAAGGTTACAATCACTTCTTCAGTAGATAAAACAAAAATAGGTTAAAAAAATTAGGACTTAAACTCACAAATAATGAAATATGTTTTTTCACGTAGTTTACCTCAGTATTTTAACCAACATTGTACATTTTATTGTTTAGAAAAGACAACGACATTGCAGAAAAATAAAATTTGTTTTCAACAGGACAAATGTTTTACATGGTGGTATAAAAAGTGTAATGGGAGCCTGGAGGCAAAAAAAAGGAAACAGGGGAAAAGAAAATAAAAAACCTACTCCAGAAAAAGTACAAAGCTAAAACAAATTCCAGATGTGCAAGTCTGAAGGTTTTAGCTTTTCAAATACACAACTACGTGCGCCTTTCACAGTAAGTCACAACTGAATAAGACTGTACTACCGCACCCTTCAACAGGCCAGTCTGCAAGTCAAAACAATACAATAAAGGGCTAAATCAATAATAATGCAAGTATGGGTTCCTTTTAGATGTTATAAAAAGCTTGTTTATATATCTAATGCTTCATCTTTTAGATTCAAACTGTGCTTAAGATTTTTTAGTTCAGACATACTGAAACCCAGCAGCACAGATGGTTTGCGATTATTCATTGCCTTTAAGCATATATTCCTCTTTTTTCCAAAGAATGATGCAACATCAATTTTCCATGCACACAGCAGTGAGGAAAGTAATTCCACCTCTTTCTTAGAAGGATATGGCCTCTTGTGAAAGTAGTCTGTCAAAAACTGCTTTTGAGCCTCATACGAACTGTGATCATACTGTGTAGGATCTACTGCTAAAAGGCAAAGATCCTCACTAGAAAGAAGCTTCTTCATATCAGTCCTATTACTAATCTTCTGTCTTTTAAAAGGCACTACCCCTGAATTCAATTCTTCTTCTGGAGACAGAACTATGCCAGTACTGAAGCTCAGAGGCTGCTGTTCCCTATTCCTTTGGTCTTCTGCAACAAAGCAGGAATCCGATTGTTTTCTTTTCAGCGTCATAGAATCATGCTTTTCACCATTTACAAGCAGTAGCTCTTTCTTCTCAGTACGCTCAAGCTGCATCTTCACACTTGAGTTGCTGTCTTTGGGAGCACTTCTACAACGGAGCAAATGTACAGCAATAGCTGCTAGAGTCATATTTCCAGTGTACACACCACAACAGTGGATGCACTTGAAAGCAGGAGTCTTTAAAATAGTATGTACAGTTGGCATTATATGATGCCGCTCTTTCAAATGCCTTTCATAAGTTTCTTTACCAGCAAACGTACCATAGCAAAAGGGACAGGTTAACATTTTTCTCATGCATCTCCTCTTTGTTTCTACTGTCTGAGCTGTCACTTTGATGTAAACTGGGACAAGCGTCCTTGAATTTAGTCCAGCGAGCACAGCCAAATGTACTTCTCTTTCACCAATATCTTCTTTTGGTAACACTGTACTGAAATCAAAGTGAGGAAATATAAGGTCACCCTGAGCATCATTACCTAGTTGAAATCCTCTGTTGCTATAATCTGCATGTAACTGCTTTTTCCCAATGTGTGTCATCTTATTGTGCTCTACAAGGCTTTTTAAGTCATGGAAAGTAACTGTGCAAAACAAGCAAGCTAAGCCATGCATCAAGAGATGCTTCATGAGCTCTTCCTCACACAGAAAAGACTTACAAGAGAAACACCGGACCGTCTTTTCTGTCATCCACCTCAGAAAGGGTGCGCAAGCTGCAAGTTTCTCAGGTGCTGGGGTTCTGTCCACTTTTGGTTCACACTGTTTGTGGGCCACCTCCATGTGCACCTGGTAGACATTTGATGGGAAAAGTTCACTGCAAACAGGGCAAGTCTTCCACTGCTTAGCCTGTCTGGTATCCTGACTTGTTCCAAGACCAAGAAGGGAGGCTTGTAATGATATATTCTGAGATGTTAATACCACTGGAGGAGAGGGCACACTAGCTGGTGACTGGGACAACTGAGTTATTGTCCCAGCCTGCATTAGGTGGAAGGGCACTTGTGGTGGTGTAACAGTTGCTACTCCCCCACCAGGAGGTACAGGCAAAGTAACTGAAACTGGGGAAAGCGTGTACGTAGGTATCCCATTAACTTGCTTACCAGTTGGAATCAACTGCCGAACTATAGAACCTGGAGTCAAAAAAGCTGTATTCTGAGAAACTGATGGTTGAACTGGATGATTTACTGGGATAACTGCTGGGGCAACAGGTCGGTTAAGTTGAAAAAAACCAGGTCTGACATTCTGTCCAACAGGAACAAGCCCAGAAGCAACAGGCTGATTAAGCTGGAGAACACCCGAAGCAACTGTCTGTGCCACAGGAAGGACCCTGGGATTAATGGGCCTATTCACATTCCCAAACGACTGATTGACGGAGATAACTCCTGGTGCAACTGGTTGATTGACAGGGCTGACAGGCTGAGTAACAGGTAGTGCTCCAGTTGCAAGCGGACCATTTATGGTACCAATGGTTTGATTAACGGGGAAGAGCCCAGGCCTGACAGGTTGATTAAGAGGAAGAACTGAAGGGCCCACAGTCCCCACAGGCTGATTAAGGGGGAGCGTATGGGAAACAATGATAGGCTGGGAAGGTGACGGCTGAATATTCATGTTATTCTGACCTACAAAAAGATTATTAGATACAAGAGCAACATGTGGGGGGGTAACAACTGGAGCAGAAGTTGTATGTGGAAGGCTACCAGAGGCACTTGGAACAGTCAGTGATCCAACTGTGTTTTGAATGGCATTTGGCTGCACCACACTCTGGTTTTGATTATTCTGTGGAAATGCAAGCTGGATGCAAGATGGAGCTGATACAGAACCTGCTGTGGAAGTGGCAGGTGTTGCAGATGGAGAAGTCACTGCCATACTTTGGGGAGGCTTTGGAGCAATTTGCATTTGTTTCACGATTTCTGGTTTCTTAATATGCTCTGAAATCAGAGACCGAAGTTTGTTCTCCAGGTCTCTGTGTGTTTCAGCTGTCAAGACATGATACATTAAAGAATCTTCACTCTTTGCGGAAGCATTACATTTTTTACAGTAGAGCTCAGCAGAATCCCCTTTACTTCCATCAGGTTTCAGGCCAAAATACATACTAATTAAGTTCTCAAAATGGTTCATCAGCACATGTTTCTTCATATTGTAATACAATGTGTCTGTGAAGTGGCATTTTAGACACGTAAAGTTTATTATATCACTCTTGAATTGTTTCATGCCATCCAAAATGCTGACTGTGTAGTTCTGTATTCTTTTATTAGATGAATGAAACATTCGGATATGTTTTCCCACTATTTTTGGATCAGAAGCAAATGCACATTTTGGGCAAGGAACCACCAGCTCTTGGTCCATTTCATCTTCATGGTAGCGGTGCAAGTGATTCTTGAATGAAGTAAGCAATTTCGACGAGAACTTGCATAAGCTACAGCAGTACGGCTTTGTCCTGTATCTCTGCAAACAAAACAAAAACATCCACTTAGAAACTGCCAGCTGATTCCTAAACCCCCGTTATCTGTTTGAAAGTAAGCCTGTACTATCACCCGTCAAAAATGCCTTCATTGGATGTATAGCATGTATCTTCTCAGCTTCTTCTGTTTCTGAAAAGCAGACTTAAAGATGCCATACTTAAAGGGATAAACATTTGTGCCCTTTTCACTTCTTTACAATTTATCAAGAAGCCTTAAGCTCACAAGATGTAATACTGAAGCCCATTTTTAAAGACAGAAATCACAGAACAAGCTAAGAAGAATTCATATGCCACTTGTAAGCACAAGGTGAAGTCTCAACAATTAGGAATAGCAGCCCTTTAAATACAACACTTTTAAAGCATTACTTAGGTCAGAACCACCTCCTATTTACTGGAGAAAAAGCGAGAAGGGGTGAGAGGTTTCTGCATATTTCAATACCCTACTCTTCACTGAAAGCACTCCAAAAGCCACAGAAGATTAATTTTTTCCCCAAACATTCTCTTGGAGCCAGATTAATAACAGAAAGGAATAAAACCTCTTTATGATACAGTAGCAATGATCTCTTTGTATTATCTCAACATACTGGACATCCCATCACAGTAATTTCTTTAAGAAATTTCCTCTAGCACATTCACTATAGAACATACATATTCTTCCCATAAAAATATTTTAATTGTAAAAAAATAAATCTAATTATCTTCCACTAAATAGTGGTTTGCTCCCTTGCTTACATATCACTTGACAACATTACTTTTCACATCCATATGAATATTTGCTCTTCCTGAAAAGCTTATAGGTCTATCAACCATTTTTTCTTACTAACTTCCTAAGAAGTTAAACCTAGCTCCTGCCAAAACCTACAGAATCAGTCACAGCAGCATCCAGGTGACAAACCTGCACTCTGAGACATCTAGTAAAACTTGTCTGTTCCTTCAGGTGTGTTTTTCACCTTATTGATGCCCCTTAAGAAACACCATCCAAAGGGAACAAGCTGTTCCACCACTACAGCACCCAGCCTAGCTAGATCACCCAAGTATGTGTCAGAGGTAACATATGGAGAACTGCAGCAAAAATTTGTGCAGTTACTTTTTTGTCATTTCATGTAGCCATGAAGGTGTCATCTACTAGCTCCTGATGAAAATCAAAATCTAACCTCCACATTCAAAAGACTGGGTCAGACAAAGTGACTGGCTAAGACTGCTGAAGAGTACACTGTGAAACTATTAGTTAATTATCCTCTACTTACACTCTTTAGGTGTCTGGTCTCAGCTGCTAGTAAACAGCACCACAGCAGATTAAAGAGGCTTCAATTTTACATTTAAAGTATACTAAGTAGAGAAAGGCCACCGGCACCACTGAACTAAAGAAGCATACACAGTATTATTAAAAGCTGCACCTCATTAGCCTTACTTCTGAAGAAGGCCGATGACAGAGCGGTGACTGCTTATTTCAATTTGTTCTCTGAGGCTTAGAAAAGCTCATATGCTTTTTAAATACTGGACCCTTACACCCTTTACTTTCCCCTCCACCTCATCTCTGGATTGGCTCTTTCTATACCCATAAACTTACACCATAGTGTAATATACTGGCAGTACTTCTTTGCTACCAAGTCTGAACAATGTTGTTAGGTACAGCTGTTCTTATTCTTACACAAACAAGAATTCCAGTATATCACTAAGAAACCACCCCGGTACCTGCATATTGTTAAGTCTAGGAGAAATAAATTTCCATGCCTTCTTAGATCATTTATTTTTTGACAGAGGCAAGAATCATGACACTTTACTGAGAAAAAAAAAAAAAAAAAAAGTCTTGTACCTCAAGTCCTATCAAATTAAGACAATTCCTAAAGTCCCATTATTTAACTAAAAAAGAAAAAAAATACAACAACAAAAATCCCCAAAACTCTGCTTCAACAGAAGTATGTGAAAGCCTGCTATTTTCACCTTGTTTCTGTATGAAGTAGAACTCTTCCACACAGACACATTAGAATACAGGTGTGATTAGAAAATAATTTCATCAGCATGTGCTCATTGCATAGGCTTTAAGCTGTTTTATATGTTCATAAGTGCAACTAAAAGCTTCCCAGCCTTACAGATAATTTAACAGAATTCTAGGCCACCTAGAAAACAAAAGCAGTATCTTAGAGATTGACCAACACAACCCTAAACCTTACAAATGGAATTCAAAAAGAATTATTAGAGGCATTTAGGAAAAAACTTGATGAGTCCCGCTCCAAAGAACATACCCCATAATGCAGCAACACTTTCCGTTGTGTAGTCTCACATTCCCCACAACCTAGAGACAAGCAGAAAGACACAACAGCCTCCAAAAATCGGAAGTTCTTCTATAATTATTAATGTCTCCCTAAAACCGGTACTAACAGTAAAACCACCAACTCATCTAAATAAAGATCATCTCCAGCCTACTGAGCTTCCAATGTAGTTCAAACAACTTATTTTTCCCCTATGGCAACAACACTTCTAGAACATCCTCAAGGACCAACTTCTTTCTTTCCAAATCTAGGCAGCATGATGCCAAAATATGTGAGTGATAAATGTCAAGGAACCATGGCTGTTTAAAGAAAATAGACAGGAACAACTTTAGTATCCACAAGACATAGCTTGGCAAATCTGTTCCACAGCAACACATTACAAACACTACACTGAAGTTCATCATCAGAGAGATTCCAATCTTGTTTTTTTGGACAGATACTACTCATCATGCTGATTAGCTGAGTCAGGATCTGTATTTTGCTTTCATGATTTAAGTTCAGCCAGTAACTCACAACCACACAGACACTCACCCCCCCCTCTTTATCTCACCCCATTCCCAGAGGGATGGAGAGAACTCAGAATTTAAATCCCACAGGTTGAGGTAAGAACGATCCAATAACTGAAGTATAATACAAAACCACTACTTCCACTAATAAGGGGAGAGAATATAAAACTAAAAGGGGAAAGGGAAAAAAAAAAAAACCAGAACAAAACAGTAAACAGCAGTGATGCACAATACAAGTGCTCATCATCCACTGACCAATACCCAAACCAACCTGAGCAGCGACTGTCCCTTCAGGTAAATCCCCCCAGTTTATATACTGGGCATGACATGCTGTGGTATGGAATACCCCTTTGGGTAGTTTGGGTCAGGCATCTTGTCTCTACTCCCTCATGGCTTCTTGTGCCTCTCCACACTGGCAGAGTGTGAGAACCAGAAAAGTCCTTAACAGAGGTAAGCACTACTTAGCAACAACTAAAACACTGGTGTGTTATCAGTGTTGTTCTCAGCCTAAAGCAAAAAACACAGCACTGCACCAGCTGCTAAGAAGGAGAAAAATAACTATTACAGCTGAACCCAGGACATCCTCTCTTCTTGTAATAGATCAGGCCTCTCTGCCCGGTTTTTCTCCAGATAAAAGGAATGAAAGATTCCATCTCTAGTGCATGAATTTTAGTTCTTTTCCATCTTCAATGAAATGGCTATTTTTTTTCCCTAAAAACCCCACACCACCCAAAGCCCAACTTTTTGTTAAGTTTCAGGCAGGAGGCTTCATTTTCTCTGTCTTCATCCTCCTCTTCCCTGTTTTGTGTCTAGGGAAGAGGTGGAACCTATCCTGCTCATTTAACACAGGCCTCCAAACACTAAAGTTCTCTGTCAACTGACTAAGAAAAAAGGCAAAAAAAAGAATCAGCAAGGCTAGAGCTCATAAAATATGCTGACTGGAGCCAGGACACCTGATAGGAGACATTTTCCATGTGCATAAAGAAGAAATATAAAGGGGGGAGGGAACCAGTATAACCATTAATGGGATTTATTCCATTCAGCTAAACTAAAGGTAGTCTTGACTGAAGGTATCTGTAAGCCTTATCTGAAGTGGCACTGACAAGCTAGTGTTTGGGTCTCTACAGACCCAACAAGTCACATTTGACTCTCACCCACAGATTCATGTGAACAGATGAACTTCCAATTTTAAATGTGTGAAACCAAGTTCAGAAAAGGAGAACTAGGAGACAAAGCAGACAAAGGTCCTAAAGGCAGGAAAGAGTCACTTTCTACTAAATGACAGATCAACAAAGACTGAATGGCTTTGTTTGGTCAGCCTGTGTGTTGAGGGCATAAATATACAACTATTGCATGTGGCAGCCTCTGCTTGTTTCAAAGATGGTCAAGCCAGATTTAAAAAACAAAACCAAAAAACTGCCTAAAAATCCTGACAAACAGCCACCACACTGTTCTAAACCATTACCTTCGAATTCAGAATGAAAACTACAGACCCACTGCTCTTTACATGCTGTTGATAGGCCTTCTTCATGGAAGCAATCGAGAGCCCCAAGACTCTTCAGCAAAACTGAGAAAAGACTATCTTTTTTTCTGGATATATTCTTATGCTCTACACGGTATCTTGGAAACTTGCTAGAGTGTAAAATTGTATTTGTTTGTCCATCTCAACCCTGCCTTTCTTGCAGATACTAGGTTCATACAAGATTCCAGCCATAGAGAACTAAAAGCTTTTTCACATACACTGATCTAACTGGAACATGTTTTCCACTGCAATCCAAACCCCCCCCCCCTCCCCAGCCACTTTCAGCTTAATCCACTTGCATCTATGCAACCATATTTGGACCCTTCCAAAGAAACAAGAAACATGTTGTATACAACAGCATGTTAAGACTACACATCAGAATAGGCTAATAAGGCAGAACATTAGTGTGACATCTTAAATACTCAATGTTGAAGGCTGCATCCTTAAAGCAAACAGCATACATAGTCCTTATAACCAGCTACATTACAGAGAAGAATACAGAAATGGTAATTACTCCTAACAGTACTTCGAAAACAGATGTTAAAGCTGCACTTTTTACCATAAAAAGGTGTATTTTAACTTTTCCAGGGCTTCTGAAAGTGATAAATTCAGCAACTCCACATACAAGTCTCTAACACAACTATACATACCTTCCTTTTGCCCACAGACTCCCAAAGAGAGACATCACTCCATGAAGTGTTACAAAAGTGTTTTTCACCTGGGTCAAAACTTTTAAGATTCTGAAAGAGAAAAAGAAAAGAAGAAATAATCTGCTTTTGCAGTCTGTTCTGGATACAAAAACAGTCTCAAAACAAAGCAAGGAAAAAGAAAAAAGGAAAACCCACGCAAACAGCAGATGAATGCCAAGTCCATACAGTATTTGGATACAGACCCCAAAATTCAGTTCCAAGAAATTGCTACTTTAATCTCTATTTCATTTATTTTACCTCAAATACTTGTTCGTGACTGCCTTGTAATCTAGTAGGAATTCTGAACACTTCATACTTACTGAAAATGTAGGAGTGAAGATATTTACACTTTAATTCCATTGCTTCTAGCCAAGTTCACAGTGAACACAAAATACAGTACTTTCTCCCTCTACCTTCCTCCTCCTAAATCTGTAATCTTTCACTGTTTACTTCAATTTATTAACTTACCACTAAGGTTTACTTTGCAACAGGGTTTAGCATTAAATCTTCACAGCATTGCTCTGTTTTTAACTTGGGAAAACAAAGAGCAGCAGTATTTTTCTCAAGCTGTAAAAGTAACAGTATTATTGCATCTGGAACAACCGTGTCAGGGTAAAAAACTTTCCTTATAGCATTCTTCTAATCAATCCCATCAGAACAGTTTATGACCCTCAAGTCAAAGCCAGCCACCACCGTAAAAATCTTAAGTTCCTCTCCAATTTTCTGAAGCCCACATATATCCAAACACAAACCTAACGAAAAAAATAACTACACTACTGTTTGCTAGGCATTTCTGAAGAACCTAGGTTTCAGAAGACCCCTTCCATTCTAATCAGCAATCCCTCCTATTCTAATCAAAACCTAAGCACTGAATAAGCCATCTATCTGCCTTTCAGCCAAACCTTAAAGACAGAAAAACACCTTAGAAAGAACCCCTGAATGGAACAAGAGAAATCCCACAGCCTAAGAAAACGTGAAGCTTTTCTTACATATGTTTGATAGAGAAAACACATGAAGAGACTTAAGATTTACTAACAGTTCTGCAGCCAAACATACTAAAGTGAATTACAGTTATGAAAGTTTTCTCGAAGTTTATGGCCTACCCCAAAAACGTTCTGCTTTTGTATTAAAATGATTACCATTTTCCAGAATGAAAGATAAAATGCTCAGAGCTTAAATGCAGACTTAAAGATTAGAATATGTTAAAGAAGCTAAAATACTTTACTACAGGAAAGCCTTTGACATTACAAAGTACTTGAGAGTAACTGCAGAATCAACCGACTAAAGTAGCCCAAAAGCTCATGTCTTCTTCCTAGCAGAGATGAATTAAGAACTTTTAGCCTAAAAGCTAAAGCATTCAGTCTTCAAGCAACACAGAGATACTACTTGTATGTGAAATTCCTTCACCGTCTTCATAAACTACTGCCCATTATCATACCTTACTAGAACAGGTTAAGACCAATTTTAAGACCAGACGGCAGGTCAAGTCTGTATCACATCATTTCCTACCGTTTCCTAAGTTGCCCAGCCTCCTCACACGAGAATGTCCAGAAATCAATCCTAATACTGGGGATGGGAGATGACGAGGAGAACACACGACTTAATGTACTTCTCATCTATTAAGACACCACACACCCTGTTCTACCAAAAAGAAATACCATCATCATACGAGCCAACTACAAATCAAGTTCTAAAAACCGCTCTTCTTGCTGCTAAAGTGCTACCAAAACCAGCCACAGATTACCTAAAAGAAACAAACTTAAGTTATGAACTTGGTTGAGGGAGAATTATTTGCAAATAAATAAGTAAATAAATAAATAAATAAATAAATAAATAAATAAATAAAGCTCTATATTTTATAGCCTACATCTCACAGAACTTTTTCCAGAATGGAAATGTTTGCTGGGGTTACCACCACCACCATTTATTAAAAGTGAAACACCACCAAATAAACACACACCACCACCACCACCCCCGAGAAAACAACAAAACAAAAAAAACCCACCTTATTCCCCATTCACCATCAAAACCCCTACTGCAACCAAAAAATTGAACTGCAGTCAATTTCATAGCAAAAAATAGCACCATCAACACATTTCTACTTCAAATGGTCAAGACAGAACAGCTCCTTAAGAGGTTTAATTACAAAACAATAATATACAACATAATTAAAACAGTATGAAAATTGAAATTGGACAAATACACTTTTCCCTCAGCTCTTAGGACATATTTATCATTTTTAAATGCAATAGCCAAAAATGATCCAGTATTAGTCATGCATGTAGATCTTAAATCATTTACATACACAGCTTCAGAAGAAACACCACAAAAGACACAACAGCACTCCTACAGAGTTAATTTAGTTTAGCATCATCATCCAGAGTTAATCCAAATCCTTGATTCAACGTGAAGACATAAACACACTAAACTGCCAAAAAAAACCCTGTGGACTGGCTGGCTGGAGTACACTACTGTGTAGTCAGAGTTGCATTACTGTGTTTGCACTTTTTCTGTATTAGTCTTGCCAAACTGATGGTGTGAATCCATCCTGATTGTTCCACGATACTTCCTCCGGAAAGGGGCAACAACAGTATTATGTCTTCTTGATCGCTCCAGTGCACTTGCATATACATTTTAAGAATGCAGAACTGAATACAACTCTGTAAGACAAGTTTCATATTTTCCCCTGAACATAAAGCTTAAAGGCCTGCAATGAGAATACTGGGTCTAACTGCTTGTTTGTTTTCAGAAATATTGAAAATCTGTATATCCTTCAGAGGCTTGCCCTTGATATATGTCAGGATATCCCTGAATAGCCAAGTCTTCATTTTCTGATGCTTTTAAAAGAATGCAAAGAAAGTTGCTGTGAAATATTTTGTTAGCCTGCAGTGTTTTTCCTAAAGCTGTACTGTTTCCTTTTGCTGAAGAATACTTCAATACTAGCAGAGAATATGCATCACCATCTATAACATACCTTGTTCCAAAACTGAGTTTCTGTCAACATTATGTACTAAAACAGTAAATTCTATCCCTCGCATACGAGTGGTCAGTCATGAGTAATCTTTCAAGTAAAGATCCTCACCATAAATATCTATGCCAGATATAATATACACACTAAAAGTGAAATATGTTTCAGATTGGTTTCATTCATTTCAAATGCTTTACCTTCAACAATTCCCTGCAGCAGTCAAGCCCAAGATCCGCAAGAATGCCCTTCACCTTTTTTCGAGCCTTCCTAATATTATCAAGATTTTGAACAGGAACTTGAAACATTTTGCACTTCTCCTGAAAAAGAAATTAAAAAAAAAAAAAAAAAAAAGAAAGAACACAGACACTTGCATTTAACAGTATTAAAGTCTTAAAAATGCATTCTTCAATATGAAAATGCAAAAGCCTTAAGCCAAAGAACTGGTCTCATTAATATTTTCCAGTAGATAAGTTGTTTCCTTTTAAAGGAAACAGAATTTTGGGGGCGATCCTTTTCCCTTATTTCTTCTATCTAAACAAAATCATAAGTTTTTCTTTCCGATTTCTTTGTGTCTATATGGCAGCTGTTCCATGTTTTGTCCTTTTTTCTGTAAGAGAATATGAACACCAGTTACTATCAGCTCATTTAGGAAGGAGGAATTCAGCACCTTTCACCTTGAATGTTAGTGTTGAGAGCTTCTTTGATAATGTGGTTTGTAGTCAGGTATGTACATGCTTAAAATATAACTGATGACAAAATCTACATTTTCTGCAGACAGGAAACTTATGCTATTAAATATTTTTATGCTGGACCTTGTCACAAAACAAGGTACTACAATATTAATGCAGTAGAAATAAAATGTAATTAATATATGGCACTGACAGCTAAGTACACTGAGTGCGGGACAAATTTCTGTCACACCCACATGCTTTTAGGTCTCTTCCTCTACCAGCTTTTCCTACTCCAGAATTTGGATTTACAACCTACCCTACTCCCTCCAGCAAGCTGGAGTCCAGCTTACAGAGAGACAGACTATCTGCTATGGGTCATCTATCCGAAGGGTTGCACACAGAATGGTTGTCCATTTGTCTAGAACATAACCACCAGGAACACCTAGCACTTCCACAACAGCCAGTCTTTCATCACTCCCCATGCAGCTGGGCTATGGATGCATCAGTTGCTTATCTTCAGCTCCCAGTACATCATAAAGCATTCCCATGGGTTTAGCTTATCTTTAGCTCCCAGTACATCATAAGGTACACCCTTGGGCTTAGAAGCATGTGCCTTTATCACCTCTTATCTGTATTACAGCACAATGCATTTTAGACTGAGATTTAAGAAATTTAATTTGGCACAAAATGCAACGGAACTACCCTACACTGAAAATGGCCACTCGGAGCTTCACAGATATTTATTTGTTCTTAGTTAGCTGGACCTAACAGAGTTTGAAAGATCTCAGTCCTTATTGCTAAACGATTCATCCATCCAAAGGAAGTTTTAGCAAGGGAAAGAAACAGAAAAATAATAATAGAAAAAATAATCCCCAAACAGTACTCAGACCTTGATGGTCCTTAATGTCTTAAAAAGTTATACTTTAACAGAAAAAAAAAAAAAAAGGAAAAATCAGTGTTAACATGAAATCTTTGCATTAAAATGCAAGACTTTCTTGTAAACAGTAGCAAAAAACCCTCCCGTGTAAGACAGAATCTACAAGCAGAGCCTCACCAAAAGCAAATAAATGCAAAGAAAAAAACCCCATAAACAAAACCCCACTTTTTCTACTCTGTATGTCATCATTCAACAAGACAAAAAAGAACAAACCTTACGTAAAAACATGCAATTGAGTGTTTTTTAATTAAAACTCAAGTAACTCACATGCTATTCTCCTCTTCTTCTCCCCCGAAAGGAAAGCTATGCACAAAAAAATGGAGAGGGAGCCCCATTTGACAGATGCTAGTCTTGTTTCCTAATGGTTTTTATCCCTAAGAAGTCTGGAAGACATTCTGATACCATTGGGGTAGGTGTGGAACAGGAACCTAGACAGAATGGAATAAATCAGAGTAAACAGTCTGACACTCTACTGAAATTCAAGGAGTAAAATTAATCTGTAAAATCCTCTTTTTAAAGTGAAGTCGACTGTTAATTTGTACAGTCTCTGGTTAAAGTCTTATGATCTGTCCCTCTATGATAGCAGGTTATATGCACCAACCCCATGGCCCACTGAAGGTAACAACAGAGCTGACAGGATGTCACCATGCTTAGATCAGCCAAAAGGATATGTGGTTCAGTATGTTAGGCTCCACTGGAAACACTTCATCTCAGTCGTTTAACTGATACACTGATGCTAGCAAAGGCAGGAAGCAGACATTTCTTGAGGCATGTCTATCTCGTAAAAAAGAAACATTAGTCTACAAAGGTGTATAGTAATGCAACATCCATGTATCTCAAGTTTTCTTAACCAGCAATCTTTCTGAAAGTCATTAATCAAAATGAGAAATAATTCATTTTCCGTTTTTCAAGTAGTTCATCTTCAATCCAAAAATATGTGTATTTCTGTATCGTGTGCAACATCACTTGGTACTTTCACAAACTGTTCTGGAGCAAGACTCTATGTTATTCATCTAATGTTCTGTATCTATTAGACCAGCAACGCCCCATCACAAAGGTCACTGAAACTTCATCATTCTAAGCTTATTTCCTCAAGATGCCAGTTTAATTCCCTGATTACTACAGAGTTTATTATCCATACTTGTTTAGGACTAATTTATTTCTCTTGCACTTTAGACATTCTTCAAGCTTTGGCTTGCACGGTTTCCATGCATAACTACAGTCAATCTTTTGTTGGTATGCATCCCATTCTTAACCAGCAAATTCAGTATGAAGGCACTACAGTAAAATTAAACCTGAGCTACTCTAGCACCCAAGAGTCTTGATCTTTTCACCATGTTGGCTACCTAAAGACAAATTTATCTTAAGCTATTTTTAATTTCATGGACATACTTTTGCATGAACAGAACACAGGCAAGTTAGTATCAAAATAAAACTGTAGCAGCTGATGCCCCAAACTCAATTCTAAAAAGGTCATTCAACCCTTGCTCGGGCATTTTATCCATCAATTTATTGCTGCATTTACAGTTCATTTAGATGGCACCTCTCCAATGATACAGCAAACTTGAGTTCTGTGCAACACTAAAGGTTCCCTTCATTTCTACACCACCTGCATTCCATATAACATCCAACTACATTCAGCTTTTTAACAAAGATCACAAATGTAACTCTGACAATAGTATTACAGTATTTTAATACTAACCTAAACAACGAGGTAGCAGTCTGGACAGTACCTTACTAGCCAAATACTTCTACTTTGCCAAGTAATTATGCTTGACTATAATATCTCTGCATTAAAAGAAAAAAGCAAAAATGCTGACATTTCACCTCTTCAAAGTGAGAAGTCCCACAAAATAGAAAGTTTCTTTTTGCTTTCCTTTTAGCTTACTTCTTAGAACAATACTCATTCACCTTGAAAGGGAACTCAAGAAGACACCTATTCCGGTCTCCTAGTCAAAGCAGGGTCTGCAACAAATTGAAAACCTCCATAGACAGAGGTATGACAGCCTCTCTGGGCAACTTTTCACTGACAGACTGCGGTAACACTGAAAGGTTTTTCCCTTACAGCACCATTTGTGGTCCTAAGGAAACATATGCAACAGAATTAAATCTGAAGCTGGTATGGAGATGGAGCATGGTAGATGCACAGATGTGCTTTCCATGTGCATGCAGGTATGTCCTGCAAAATCCATCAGTAAACAAGATAATCAGGTATTTCTAGAGATTTCATGAGAACAGGCAATTAGAGAGAAATCCTATTAGAAGGTCCACAGAGAAAAAGGCTGCAATGTAACCCCTTTTAGAGACCAGACAACCTACACAGAAGCCAGATCTCCAGATGTGTTCCTAGGAAGCTGGCCTTCACCAGGCCATTGCTCACAGAATCACTTGTAGTAGGGAAATTATGAAAGGCTTGTGAAATTTTGTCCTTTCATAGTTAGAAATGCTTTAGAAATTCAATCATTCTTGTTTTGTTTTCTGATAAGCTTACAAGCCTTCTAAGAAGTCATACCTTGTTATATAACCGTGTTATTATACAGATGGTTGGTTCCATTCCCTGGACTGTTATCTATGTCTTCTGAAAGAGACCTAACTGGATTTACGGGTGTGTTGGCACCATCAAAGCTTATCCAGCCTTTGTATAGCTGCCTATCAATATCTCTAGGTGTTTTAACAGCATTGACAGATTTTATTCCTGGAAAGAAAAAGAGTCACTTGATTAGAATGAATATTATTGTTACTATTTCATTTACTGTCAATTATATTAGACTAATAAAACTTACTGGGAGTAGTTCTGGTCAACAAAATAACTCTACCTTATCTTTACAGAAAATCCAGGGTAAAAAAAAATAAACAAATAAACAATTTTTTTTGGTGCAACTAAATTGGAAACTTTTGGGAGTCTCAAATTGCAGATCTCTTATAGTCACAATAATTCTGCTCTTTCTTAGCTAGAAATCACACACCCGTTAAAACAGCCATTTAATCCAACATAAAGACGGCCATCATTCAGTAGCTGCTAACACAGTAAAAAGCATTAAGGTATGCGATTACATGGATAAAAATACAGTGCATCAACCTGCATCTTACTTAAAATGTCCAATCAAAACAAACTTAGATCACTATTTTTGCTGTTGTGGTTTAAATACCTATTGTGACACTTCATTAACACACAATCAAGCCTCCATTATCCAAGACTAGACCGGAGGGCTTCATGGAGCCTTCCTAGAGTGCTGTGACTCATAGGAGAGATAGACTCCCTTAGTGATCATCATCAGCCTGAAAATGAACCCAGCAGGACGCAAACTCACTCCATGTAACTTAAGCACCTACATGGACCCTACTCAAATGAGCAGAAGAGCCACACACCGACCCCAGCAACTTTAGGGAGAAGTACAACTGCATTTTGTACTGCATTAGTCAGTCTGATATGACCCAAAGACATTCCACATAGATGCACAGAACAGTCCATAGCACAGATAACCCACAATCTGAAATTCAGCAAGGGGACAACTGAAAAAACATAAAGCTGCGCTACAGGTGTCATAAATACAAGTCAGCTTTTCCAGCATTCAGTGAAATTTAACACAAACCAAGGAGTTCCCACTGGTAAAGCATAAAGCACTATGAAACTGTTTCTGTGCTCTTTGTTGTGTCTGAAGATTTGATATATCTTCAGGGAGGGTTGTTGGGTTTTTGTACAAAACTTTAATAAAATTTAATCAATAAAATGAACTATGAGAACTCCAGTTTTTATTACAGCTTGAAATATAGCATATTTATTACATACATGGTTAAATACTGCACTAAAGAAATTCCCTTTTCTTGTTCAAAATTACTAAAAATATCACTAAGATTTCTAGAATACAGATTGCACTAGAGACCCCAAGACTGAGTCTTTCCCTTATATTTTAAGTATTTAAAACTTTAAGGGGCTCAAACATGTATTTCTGAATTACAGAACACAGTTAAGGAAAACAGCCAGTTCTCCCCAAATAGTTTACTGGTCCAAACTTCAGTATTTATCAGTTAAAAGGGAGATGTTCATAATTTTGACAATACAGTACTATGAACCATTGCAGCAAAAATCAAATATCTATCCTTTATTCCATTTACAATGCAGGACCAAACGAACTTCCCACTGCTTGCTCTCAAGCGCAAGGTAAGCATATTCAAATGTCTTTAATGATTTGCATTGTACAGGATATGTTTGCTCATTCATAAACTTTTTATGTAGGTATTGCTGAAGTACCACTAGAATATGTAATGCAATTTTGCATTCCATTAACATTTTTGTTCTAATTCTGCATGCAGACTATTCCCGTGTACCTTACACTTTTCCATAAACTGTTTCAGACAACCCTATTGTCTAAAATCATACACAGACTTTGAGACAACTTGTCAAGTTGGCTTCTTACACGCTCCACTGCCTAAGTATTGACAGAAGTTAGACGAATAAAAAGAAGTGATCCAAACCAACTGTTCAGTAAACAGCACTCAAAGCAAGGACAACCCCGTTAGACTCGTCTCATTAGGCTAATTTTTACTTCCGACCACGGGCACACCCGGAAGTCCCTCCCCTGTTCGTGTGCGCTGCGGACCGGGGAGGGGGGTTATTCCCACTGAAGCCCACGAGGGCCGCCTTAGAGGGAAGAGGCGCACACTGCCATACTTCAGCAAGCTCAGTTACGGCCGGCATGCCCCGCCAGACACCAGCGGTCACCACCGCGCAGGGAAATGAAGCTAAGCGCCCACAGCCCTGCACCTTTAGCCGGCTGCAACGCAGTGGCAACGTGCAGCGGCACAGCCCGGCGGTACTCGCAGCTCAGCTGACAGCCCGGGGCCGACACCTGCGGGACGCCTGGAGCCATCCAGCTACCGCGTGGGCTTCAGCACAGATGCCTCCGGCGCCCCCAGCTGCCTCCCGGGCAGGGAGACGGAGGATCTCCACCGCTGCGAAGTTGTAACACACCCTGGCAGCGACCAGATCCCACGGCTCGGCGGCCCGGCTCCCAGCGAGGACATATCTGGGATCTGAGCGCCTTGCCAAGGCGAGCAGAGCCAGATAGGTGAGCTAAAGCCGCCGTTAACTGACAGCCGCCAGCACTGCGGGCGCATCCACGCGTGTGCACGCTCTGCCCACGCCCGGCACCTCCCGCCCCGCCTCCCCCGCGCTCCTCGGGGCGGGTCGCCTGCGGGCGCAGCCGGCTCACCCCACTGCACCTACCCGGCTGGGCTGCAGGGGGCGCCCGCTGCCGCTCTCACTGCTGCCGCCGCCGTCGCCACCTGTGAGGTCGCGGTCCCCCGCCGCAGCCTCCGCCTCCCGCTCCTCACAGCGCCGGCCCCGCCGCCGGCTCGGCCACCCCGCCGGGCCCCACCCGTGCCGTGCCCGCCGCCCCGCCCCGCGGCTCCTCCTCCTCCGCCTGCTGCTTGTCGGGCTCTACTCCGCACGCCGCGAGGGCAGCTGCGGCGGCACCAGCATCGCCGGAGTCCGGGCCCGACCCTGGCTCAACCCACGGAAGCAGCTCCCGCTGCCCCACTCCCGCCCTTCAGCCTCCACCCGCTCCTCATCGAAAGCCAGAAAGAGAAAATGGCGCTCGATTTATCCCAGGAAGTGACGTAAGGCTCATTTGCATGACGTCCAATGGGAAGAGATATGGGTCAGTGAGCCTATTGGCTCCCCGGAGGGAGATGGGCGGGGCCTCATGTGGGAGGGGCTCACCTGCTCTCCTGCCACCTGCCCCTCCCGCCTTCGTCCTGTGAGGGGCACCACTGAGACCTCTCGCGAGATCTGGAGGCGTGACGTCACCCTCGATGCGAAAGGAGCCTGATAACGCTGTGATCATCACGTGAGATCACCACGTGACCACCCAGTAGCACTCCTGATTTGGTACGAGGTGTAGCCTCATTTACATCAGCTGGGGGCTGGAGGCCCCGCCCATCTCAGCTAGCCAATAGGGCAAGGAGAGGCCTGGCAGCCATGATTCCCATTGGAGGAGGCCCTTACCAGGTACCTCCACACGTGGCTCACACCTTCCCACCTTGGTGCTCACACCTTCCCACCTTGGTGCTCTGTTGCCAGGCCTGGAAGCTGTGGTGGGAATGGGGCTCCAGCAGGATCTGAGGGGTCCTCAGGTGCAGGTCCTGGGCAGGAAGGACCCACCGGATGCACTTCTGGTGATGTTGTGTGGGAGCATGGTGGTATCACACCCATGGCACTGGAAGGCACCTCAGTGTGATGAAAGGTGCATATGTAGGTCAGTCTGTTGACTTGTATTTACCAGATATTTCTATGTCAAGCGGAAAGCTTGTCAGGCACAGTTCTTACTCCTGCCATGACAGAATCCCAGAATGGCTTGGGTTGGAAAAGACCTTAAGATCATCTAGATCCAAACACCTGCACTGGGCAGGGACACCATGATGGCAGATGGTTTCTAGTAAGCACAAGATGGAAACAGTTGATCTCCTGTGCTGGTGGGTAACAGCCACACCACAAGGACCAGGACAACTGGCCACATAGCAGTGTGTATGGGTTTCAACTACTGAGATGCTGAATATGGTTCTGCGGCTGGAGCAGGCAGGAGGCAAGAGGTGCATTGCAATAGAGGTGTGTGGGGACATCCCATATCCCATCCCCAGCACACCAGGATCAGCCACCTTCCTGGGACAGCTTTTAGTCTTTGTCTTCCCCACAAGGTTATCCCAGCTTAGCTTAGGCCATCTCTGAAGTGTTTGCAAACTAATTACTTCAACTAGAGTTTCTTTAAGTGTGTACCATGTGAATGAAATGCTTATCACATTGAAGCCAAGGGCCATTTTGCCATTGGCCTTGGTAGCCATACATTTGCACTGTTTCTCTACATATGGCTCATACGTAGCTCAGTGTGTTGGCCAACTCCTGTTAAGGCCTGTGAAGTCCACATCGGTAGACTGACTGGTATCTTGCCAAAAGGTAATACTAATAAAATATTCACGCTCTCAGAAAATCGTGCTCTGTTTTTACAGTAGTGGCCACAAAAATTATTTGCCTTTGTAGTGCACACTCTCATAAGTACATTGAAACATAATTAGTTCTAAGTTTTTTTGGGTGATAATTTTCTATTGCTAAAAATTAATATGATAGAAATTCATTAGCTGCGTACTTGCTGCATATGCAGAATAAATGCATACACCCTTACTTGCATATAAAAGCATAAGGGTGTAGGTAAGTAAAGACTCAAAAACGATGGAATAAAAGGCAGCCACACAAGAAAGATAACCTGTTCAGAGTAGATAGATGACTGTAGATTCAGATTGGATCTTACAAAGAATTTCTTCCCTGAAATGGTAAAAGGCTTTGGAACAGGCTGCCTATGGAAGTGGTGGAATCACCATTCCTGGAAATGTTCAAAATCCATGTAGACGAGGCCATTAATGACGTGTTTTAGTGGTGAACTTGGCAGTCCTGGGGTTGGACTTGATGATCTGGGGTTGGAC